TCCAGTTTCTTCCCGCCTTTTTCTCTTCCCATTTCAGTTGCTTGTCGCTGGCGCCCTCTCTCTTGACGTCATAGCTTCCACCACGTGACGCCTTGGAATTTTCCAGCAGATGAGCGAACTGGTAATTTCAAAACAAGCGAGATTAAAAGAAAGCAATTTAAAAGACAACTAAATCTATCAAGTTTTTGTTTTTCAATGGTATATTGTATTAGCTCCTACATTTTGTTTTTCAAGCAGAGCAAGACACGCTAAAAGCAGTGAATGCGGCGCGGAAAGGTAGGAAGATGCGTAACTTGCCAGGACGCCGGCACATCGTCGAGTGTCACTGAGATCAAGTCGTAATTACCTTACTACGAGAAACGATTGTTGCGGAAGCAAGAATGTTTTTTAATTGAAAGCAGCATTTGTTACAGAAACAGAAACTTTTCTTTCGCATGTGCATTAGGGCATTTGAAAGTAAGAACGATATTTTTTGCTTAGTAATGGCTGTAAAAATCTTAGGAAATTTGATTGTCACGACACGCAATGGGGAAGCCAGCATACATAAGGTAAAAAGTATAATGTAATAAAAATGTTGGACCTCTTCAGCCGATGCAAACATCGATGACACGTCACTTCTGAAGAAAACCAAGAAGAGAAACAAAAATATGTTACGGAAATAAGCGATTTCAATCACAAAATCGCGAACAACAAACAAACAAACGAGATGAAATATAATTTTACTCTTCCACTTCTCCTTTTTTGGATTTCTTTTTCGGATTCTGACTTCCTTCGTCGTCGGAAAATTCATCAGAGCTCAAGTTTTCGAGCAAAGCCTGGAAAATACAGCAATGAAAACAAGAATTGGACTAAAGATAATAGTCCAAGAGCGCTGTTAACAAGCTATTCTTATGACGCGTCACGTCACATACATCTCTAGAGTCGCGTCACTCGTGACAAGACCCACGAGACTGCAAACAAAGCTTAGAATAACCTGCTTAGCAAGCGTTCCTGTACGATTTCTCGTATGCTGGTTGCGCGAAAATTGGGGCGAGAGAAAAAAAAATCCGACGGAGACGGGGATTCGGTCGCCCTACTATCCCTGACTCCGTCGACTTTTTTGCTCTTGCTCCAATTTTTGGACTGAACGCTTGCTACACTAGCTCCTTCGAACGAACTTAACTTCAGTCGGTTAATGGGAAGCGGCATGGCCGAGTGGTTTAGGGCTCTGGATTTGAAATCTGGAGGTCCCTGGTTCAAATCCTCCACCCTACCGCTATCTGGATTTGTTCTCGGTAGCCCCGAGTTCAACTCCTCGACCGCGTTGTGTAAATAGCCAACTGGTCAGCCTCCCACCAGATGGGATTCTTAATAGTTATGTTAAATTTTGAAATATTTGTTTATTTATTTATTTACAGTGTCCGCAATTAGCACATTAGTGCTAAATACATCGACACTTAAATAAAGTGATTATTACTATTATTATTATTTATTATTATTATTATTATTATAAGTTCTTAAAGTCTTGCCGCTTTTAACTTATGGTACCGAGTTCAATCCGTGAGCCTAGGGCGTTCATAAGTCTGCTGGATTACTTGATGGATAGAGTCCTCCTAAGTATGTGAGCAGTTCCAAGGAGGACGGTCTCCTGTAGCTCTGTCCTACCCCACTGCCCGTTTAGTAGTACTATTATTGTTATTATTGTTGTTATTGTTATTAATGTTATTATTGCTATTATTGTTATTGTTATTATTGTTATTTTTGTTATTACTGTTATTATTGTTATTATTGTTATTGTTATTATTGTTATTACTGTTATTACTGTTATTATTGTTATTATTGTTATTATCATCATCATTATTATGATTATGATTATGATTATTATTATTATTATTATTATTATTATTATTATTATTATTATTATAACGGTAGCACAACACTTTCTTTCCACAAATAACAAAGGCAAAGTTCGTAGCAGTCCGCGGGATGTTACACGCATACCTTTTCGTAATCTCTTTCTGTCGGTTTTCTTTTTTTGCCTTGTGAAGTGACTGGTTCCTCTGAAAACGAGACAACGATGGTGCGAGATATTTACGGTGGAAAATCATCAATCTTGCTTCCACAAATAAATAATAATCACAAGCAAATAATAAGTAAAATTTGATACTTGCTAAAAAAAAATTTACAAACCCCCTTCTTCGTCGTCGGTGGATGAAAAATCCATGGCTTCGTAATCAAACTCTGGCAAGAGTAATAATACAAAAAAGTAAATAAAAGATACACAGTAAGGACTGAGAAATAGGCACGAGGGAAGGAATCAACGCTTAAAATAGTATTGGTATTGTACTTTTATAGATAGCACCCATTCAAGAAAACACGAGCTCGACTTTCCTAATTCTCGTCGTCAATATGTTCTTACAGAGCCGATCATATTGCCATTCTGCCCATAGTCTAATGCCCCATTCACACTAACTAAACTAGTTTAACTAAATCAGGTTTAGGTAACTTTTCCAATTTGCCGATTAGTCATTACGCTTTGCAGTCATTTTGAGAAGACAAATTTCAAACTACCTTGCTAACATATTTTAATCATGCAGGTTTTCGCCTTGTGGGGTGTGCACGGTAAAAACAACTACTTTTTAACCTTGTCCAGTAGAACCACTTTTAAACATGTTAAACATGTTGGTGTGAACGGGGTACAAGTCACGCTAACTAAAATTTCCTTTATAACTTCGAGTTTATAACCCGCATAAAATCAGTTTGTACCCTCCTCCGACGAATTTTGCTCTTTTCCCGCCATGTCTTCGCCTTCGCTGTCAGTCTCGTCCTCGCTCTGTTCTTCGTCATCGCCCTCGTCCTCCTCATCACTAGCTGTGTGTTTGTTTTCACTTGCACCGCGCTCTTTAGAGCTCTTTAACTCACTGGGAAGCAAACAGAAAAATGTATCACCGACGATTCTACTTTCCCTACTACGCAGTCCCAGCTAAGAATCAACCGAGCTAGAGTTTTTGGCGGGAGATTTTTAGTTTTGATTTGACAATAAGAATGGGAAACCATTTGAATTCTTGCATAGGGTTCCCTCTAAACAACAGATATCAGAATTTCCTACCTAGCGAAGTTGAACTCCTCGCTGGATCGCTCTTCTTGAATGTTGTCTGTCAAAAGAGCAGATCAACTGAAGTCAAAACACAGAAGCCTTGTAATGACAATGGCATCATTCTGGAGTCTAGCAACAAAAACAAAACCGTACCAAAATTCGAAGCCATCTCTGACGTTTCATCGACAGAATCGTTAGTTTTCTTCTTCCGTTTATTTTCTTTTTTTGCTTTCTGCTTGAAATACCTAAGATGAAATGATAACAACTATAAAGAACGAGAAATGCGGAACCTTGACTACCAAGGTCCGTATCATATGTAAAGAACACCTCCTTTTGCGCTCTCGATTTTTCTCGGGTATACACGAATACAGTATCTATAGCTCACAGGGTCCTCCCAAGCACCTCCCTCTTCCTCTCTCGAGCGAAAAAGAACGAGGACTCCCCTGAGCAATAGTCTGCTAAAAAGAGGGGTGACCTGATGGAGCAAAGTGGCTTGTAGGCTATAAACGTCGCAGGAAAAACATAAACGTCTTTTATAAAGAAAAAGCCTGCGTAGTAAGCGTTCCCGTACGAAGAGCTTTTCCGCATTCTGGCCGCGCGTAAATTGGAGCGAGAGCAAAAAAATCGATCGACGAAGCACGAAGCCTTGCCCCACCACCCCCTGCTTTGTCGATTTTTTTGCTCTCGCTCCAATTTACGCGCGGCCAGAATGCGGAAAAGCTCTTCGTACGGGAAATCTTGCTACGCAGGCTTATAATGAAACAACAACAACAAAAAGAAACCAACAACTCACACTTGGCAAGGAAAGAATCTAAGATGAAGATACAGCAAAGGAATATCCATGAACTGTAAGCTGATAAAGTTAACTTTTCAGTTCAATCCGTTTACCCAAGAACGATCAAAGTCGCAGGAAGACAAGTGGCGAGAGTTGAGCAACACATCAAATAGAAGATACTTTCTTGATGTGCTAAAAAATGTTACTACGGATTATTATCTCCTTCATAGCAATACCTGTGAAAAAACAGTTCATCTTCTCTTATGTCTTCTTCTTTCTTCAAAAGGAATGCTTTAGTATTCACTGCAAAATGAATGGATAAAATAAACTAAAGCCATAATTTATAGCGTGCTTCAAGAGATGATTGAGCTAGCAGTTTTAATAGGACTTGTTGCTAAGTAACAAAGGGATTCGTCATGATGACGTGATATTCTGAGCCTCATTTCTTCGTAACTCGGTTTCAAGATAAGACTTACCTATGAAAAATACTTACGAAAATAAGCCTTACTCACATGTTTAAACTTGTGTTCTTGTGAAAGGCATAATTTTGAAACAGTGGAAAAACTAAACTTGATAATAGTGTTCTAAATTGAAGAACTTTTACACTCTCAGTGTTTAGATAGAAAACCGTTACTTTCCCAACTTTTTTCGCACTTACCAGGCTCCTCGGCCAGCCTACTTGACGACGTTTTCGGCTGCATAAGTGAACCTCCATGATCTAAGGAAACAGAAACAAGTTGCGCGAGTAAACACACGATAATCTACAAAATCTGGTTTGACATTGTACAAGCAACCAAACGTTTAGTAGCTATGTAGGGCAGTTACCTCGCTCTTTCCTCTTCGGATTTTTATACACAAATCTGTCCAGAAATCTGCAAAGAAGCATTTAACAATCACACGTCAGAAACACGGTACTGATAAACAATTAAGAGCAGCTTCGCCTAAATATCAACTACTCTTGGAAATAGCGAAAAAAATCGAATTTCTTCAAACTCGCCCAGAATGAAGCCCTACGGGCACTAGCTACAAAAATATTGGTTTAAATTCGATAAATCAAAAATTAATGTTTTGCGCAATTTTTTCTTTTCGATGCCCCAAATCGGCCAAAATCGATCGAAAATGAGCGGCATATTCAGAGGCTCGTGAACTCAAAAGTAAAAATCTTCATAACAAACTGATTGGGTAAACGGATTGACTGAAGGCAATGGAACTTGACTCTAGCTTCTAACTGTTCACGAAGACAGCCAATTTCACTTTACATTTTGCGGGATTGTTTATTTTGGGGTTGCCCGTGGAAACTGTCAGTGGAGTTCAGTTAGTCTTACGACAAACATGCGGTCAGCATGTGCATGGAATTTATAGCAGCGGGCAGACACGGAACATTAAACATTTCTTCTTTTAGAAGTTTCCAAAGCTGGATCCAGTTTCTTTTGATGGCTAATCCAAGAAGGCGATTCTGCTATAAATATAAATATTCAGGTAAGTATTGGCTAACATACTTCAAGTTCGCAAATTTCACTGGAATTCGTTGACGGTCATTGGCTTCAATTCCCAGCAAACAAAGTTATTGTGTCAAAATGCGCCCTTTAGCTCCTTCTTTGACCCTGTGAGATTTCATATCTGGAAATAGTTTCTTGCAATAATGGTTTCGGAGAGAAATCACTAGCAAATGTGTCAAAATAACGAAGCGTTTGCTTTTCTTCCCGGTTTTCTTGCAGTAATCGGTTTCCGTTACGCTTGGGTCAAAGGTCACGTTTTCAGAAAGAAGTGCCGCATTTAGTTTGCTATCTCAGCGCTCGCGATTTTATTTACCCAAAAATTTTATTTCACTAATTTGAAGAAGAAACAATGCTCTTTCAGACCAAACTAGTCGTTTTGGGAAAAGCCGTGTACCAGAACGCCTTTTTAGCATTTGAAAATAGGCTAAATGTAGTCCTCTTATTAAGCTGTCTTGGGTTGTTAACTTTGAAAAATCGTCAAATATTTTAGTTTTAATCAAATCGCGATCTGTTTAGCTCTAAACATACAAGAAAAAAAGTACAAATACAACGTGCAATCAGTTTGTTATGAAAATTTTTACTTTTGAGTTTACGAGCCTCTGAATATGCCGCTCATTTTCGATCGATTTTGGCCGAATTGGGGCATCGAAAGGAAAAAATTGCGTAAAAAAAATAAGTTTTGATTTATCGAACTTAAAACAACATTTTTGTTACTAGTGCCCGTAGGGCTTCATTCTGGGCGAGTTTGAAGAAATTCGATTTTTTTCGCTATTTCCAAGTCTGGTTGGTATTTAGGCGAAGCTGCTCTTAAGACACCATCCGAACAAAGAATGAAACAGCGTCTTGTGTGTATCTTAACCAACTGTTTCTGAGCGTTTACACTCTCGTAGCCTAAAATTGCCGCCGTTTCATTGTTTAGAGACAACTCTTAAACACTCTTTACAAAGAAAACCTGATATAAATTAACATCTTCCACCATGTTGTGTGCTCTGTCTAAACGAAGTTGGACATAGAAGATTGCAAAAAAAATTATGATATATGATTTTCCCTTTCAGTAACAATAACAAGTTAAATAACAATTCAATAACTAGTACAGTCTATATTTTAGGAAATGACTTGTTTCATAATGGCTCTGCTTTACATCTGGAAGCTCGTGCAGAATTAAAGGAATATTATTGCACAAGAACATGTACCTCATAAGGGTGAAATCTTGTAACGGGTCTCCCTTGTACTCGATGTCCCCACCCTAGTAAAATAAAGGGACGAAAAGAAAAAGCTACATATTTAGACTTTGAAATCCACTTCATGAGATATTGCTTTGCGACCTAACTCGCAAAGACGACACTAATGACTAAAAGACTTAAGAGTAAGCAGCTAAAGTTCACTGGTGAATACAAATCTTCTCCTAAAGCAAAATTGTCTTGCTCCTAATGTATGGGTCTTCATAGCACAGCTGGTAAGGTATAGCTGAAAGCAGAGGTGACGGGTTCAAACTCGTTGAAGTTCTGAAATCCTTTTTAGGGGCTTAATTTGTAACTGCTTAAATTGCGATTACAACTGCGATGATCACATCTTCATTTCACAAATCGTCTCCACATTATACTAAAATATGCAGAAGATAAAAACACGATTAATTCATTTTACAAAGCCACACAAAGGTGCTTCCAACCGACTGACTCGATTTAAAGAAGTTATGTCTCAATACCAAGATATACGCAACGTCTACCGATATATTTTTGTACGAAACTACTATTAAATGTAAGAGAAACAGCGTAGAATGAAAAGTCTCTTTTTTTTTAGGTAGAAAACACCTATAAGGTAAAAATACACCAGAAAGAAATGACAGGCGAAGGAGAAATAGTATGGAGACATGAAGTTAGCTCAATCATGCTTGGTGTAAAAGAACATAGCCGAACTCAAGCTTACCTTCATAAGAGTACGAGCAAAAAGACATACAGACGGATGATAATGCCTGGACAGCTTGTTCAGTTCCCACAGACACGAGTTCTCGGCACCGCTAAACAAGGGATTTCTCTGATGGGGCTTGTACGTTTGGTTTCTTTGAGTACCACAGAGGTTGGTCTCAGTCGCTGGGTCTTTGGGTGTGTCAACATGGTGTGCCTGAGATTCATCACCAAGGATTGACAGGTCCTGAGGAGTATTGTAATTGTTGTTTTCCTCGTCCGAGGGTATGTCAACGAAATGTTCTTCGTCGTCGTCTTCCTAGACGCCATGGAAAATTTTAAGTTCAGTCTCATAAGCTGCCGATATTTGCAATTAACGAGAAGAGAATCCAATACTTGACGCACAGCGGACTATTTTCGATAAAATTCAAAGTGTTTGCAAATTGACATGAAACAATGTTTTAAGCGTGGGAAATTTATTAATCAAAAACTACAAGTAACGACTTTACGGAGACATAAAATCGGAGAATTAAAATCTGCTATTTAAACCACCGCTACAGTGAGGAATTCTTTTCTTTCATTTATTATAGGTCATCGGTTATTTGCCGGTTGGAAGGTCCGTATAGTGAAACACTGTGCCGAAGGCAGCATTTTCAAGTCCGAGGTCACAGTTCCTCACTAAACGGAACGACCATACCCGGTAAATAACTTGTTTATTTTTTTCCTCCCTTTTTCAAACCACTTTCATAATTGTTGACCTTTTCCACACACACATCGCGCGCGCGTTACTGTAACCGAGGGCAGAGAGAGGAAAGTCCGGACCGTGCTAAGCACCAATCGGATTACAGGATTCGTTACCGAAAGAGAAAACTTGGAAAACAAATCGATATGTCTTTCGTTTGTGGCATTGTTCGGTGATTTATTTCATATGTACATTTTATTACAAGATTTTCCCGGTGTATTCTGCAAAGTTCGATTTACTAGAGGCAATTCTTAAAAGTTCAATAACGTAAAATGACAAGAGACGTAAAATCAAAAGATCGATAAATATGGTAATCGAAGTTACGACTGACTAACTACAATAGGGCTCTAAAACTCAAAAGTCAAATTGCCAGTTTACCAATAGCCATCCCGGCAAAAGGTTATTCTAAATTTCCAAAAAAAAAAAAAATTCCACAAAGTTAACGCTTAAAATTACATATCCACGAACACTGAATGATCTCACTCTAAAACAATAGATTTGGTTGGAAAAACAAAACTATAACAAACCCGGTAGGGGCAACTTCTACAATCCGTTTTAACCTCGTTTTTTACCCAACAGTCTGAGCTGAAAAATTCTTTGAGATTCAAACTGAGAAAAATATTTTATACATATCTACCAACACACTCAGTCTTGGTTTGAAGTATCATTTCGTTCAACCGTCGTAGAAGTACCCGAAGAGTTGACGATTAACTGTCCAATCAAAAATGGCACGGAACTCCGAGCACGTCACGTCAGCTTGCCGACATCTATCGTTACTAAGCAACCACCAAGGGCTCAAACAACTACGACTAAGACAGGTTCTTTTAGGTTAAACCTGTGTTTTTTTCTTTCTACGTTCTTTTGGCTCAGTTTCATTCCTTTCACTGCCTACACTCGCTGTGGGTTTATGTTCGCTCAGGTTTGTCAACCGAGTGTTCTGCCAGACATAAGCTGTTATCTGCGACCTTATCACCTCTTTGGAGTTTCTCNCAAATAAGATGAACAAAAAACTTTGCTGGCCAGCTTTTGTTCAAAGGCAAAAGAAACCTCTAAACGAGTTCAAAATTGAAAATCTTCAAGGTCTGATTAAAGGGGTCCTGCGAAAGGAAAGAAAGTAAAGCTAGTCTGATTGCTTTTACTTACCTCTGGCTGCTGTGTCAGACTCTTGATTCCTGGTTTAACTTTTGTCAGCTATTATCATGGAATAATAAATAAATAAATAAATAAATAAATAAATAAGTAAGTAAGTAAGTAAATAAGTAAGTAAGTAAGTAAGTAAGTAAGTAAATAAATAAATAAGTAAATAAATAAATAAAAACTTAAGATAAAGGGGGGGGGGAAACAAGGCTTACAAATTAAAAGAGCAGTAGAACTAGAGGAGCACATGAACTTGTTAGAAGGTAGCTACAAATTGTGGGGAAACTTTTTCAGTTGGTACATGTAGTCTAGTTAAGAAGACTTTACTCCCCCCTCCCAAAAAAATTCCCTCTCCACCCCCCTCCCCCCACCACCCCCTCCACCTCAGGGAAACTTACACGTTCTGAGAAAATTTAAATATGCCATCCACGAAAACGAAAGAGAGACGCGGAACAGGATTTACAAGGAAATGCCTGGACATTCTCTAAGTTGAAACTCAGACCATTTCACTGATATGTTTACCTCGGATATCATAAATAGTGTTCCACCGATGAACGCAGGTTGCTGGAAACTGCAAACTTGTAAGATGCGTTTAACAAACGCCTAAAAACAACAAACATATGCACTTGTAAACAAAGTCTACATCAAAGAAATAAAAGAAGCCAAAAACTGAATGGAGAAAACGTTTTGAATTGTATTGAAAATTAGTATAAATCTACTAGCGTTCTTTCACGAATGCCGCTCTCTTATTCGCCTCGCTACTCACTATCTATTCTGTTTTAGTATAAATCTACTAGCGTTCTATCACGAATGCCGCTCGCTGATTGGCTACGCTACTCACTACCTATTCTGCTGTAGATAGTGAGTAGCGTAGCAGTGTGCGCTTGTTAACGAACTGGCAGCCGCTTCTTTACGTTTTCGAAGTATCTGTAAAAAGGATTTAGATAAAGTTTTAAACGACTAGTAGATTTATACTAAAACAATTAGATTATTCGCTCTCGATTTCTATGCGTGATAGTTGACTCGAGCTACGCCCTCGTCAACTATCACGCGATAGAAATCTCGAGCTCATAATCTAATTGTTAATTACTAATTACATGTAGACCGCACTTTTTGAAAGGAATTCCTGGTCGCAATAATGCAAGCAAGGGGCTTTAAAGTTTATCTATACAGCAATCCATTTTTATCTGTCTTAGAATCGTTCATCATTTTCCCACTTCTTCAAAGTCACACCATCAGTGTCGAGTTTCCTATCACGTTAATGTACTTTTAAGTTTCTCAAAATACGTTGTATCTCGGAAGTCAACTGTAACAACTCTGGCGAAGCAAAGTACAGTTAAAACGTGGAGACAAACTACTAACCGGCGATACCACAGGATTATTGCTTACCTTAACCCGATCAAGAGACGGGTCACTTTTTAACGACTTGTATAAAACGTTCAGGAAAACAGCCTGAAATGAAATAGGATGAAAAAGATGCCTCAAACTATTTGAAGCCACTTCTAGACTACGAGTAGTCCATCTTTCGCTTAGTCCGTCGTACGTGACGCGAAAGAAAACCGAGAGAAAAGTTCGCGCGGCCATTTTTTTCTCGCGGTTTTCTTTCACGTCACGCTCGGACTAAGCGAAAGGCTGACTACTCGTAGTCAAGCCACTTGTTGTTGTCCTCTTTAATTATTTGGCACGAAAGACTTTTATCAACTTGCTGAGAGACGCGTTGTTTGATGACTCAAGTGTATAAGAAAACAGTCAAAACTAGTCTAGAGTCGAGAAATAAAATGGAAACAAAAAGAAAAGCTCGCAAACGGTTGCAAGTACAGGAAATGTTACATGTTGAAACACCCCTGGATTTTCCTTGGCTAAGAACATCACATCTTCAATCTGATTGGTTACTCGGCAAAATAACTCGAGTGTTCTGAACCAATCATATTGCGCTCGCCTTAGAGCGCACAGTACAACAGATTGGTTTTGATTTGCTACAAGCTATTTTCCTGGCTAAAAAGCTTTCTCTTGACTGGCTAGTCTTCGGAAGAGTACTTTCCGTGAATTTTCCTACGTAAAACAGTTTAATATATAGATCTGAAACGCAGAGCCAAAAGCTCAAAATGAGAAGAAGTGAGTCGAGTCGCTCTTAGAAATTCCACAACTGAATGTTGACAAGCTCTCCCACAGTTCTTGTTCTTGCATTAGTCTGCTACAGAGTTACGTCGGATTACCTTACATCTGTAAATCAACCTCTAAAATGTATTTTTGGTATCTAGAGCTATTACAAACATTCTCTTTCCGTAACGTCGAGAACTCTGCACGTGCACATCGGCCTACTCACTGCTACAAGAGTACATTCCGCAGGTCGACCACCAAGTGTCCCTAGTACTGAAATGCTGGTTATGCATTACAGTTTGTATCCATGACTCTCATAGACTAAACATACAGAACTCACCTGTTTCGAGGACGTTTTCAAGCTCGGATCAAGCAGTTTGGTGTAAAGCGCCTGATAAAATCGATCTGACACAGACTGCCTGAGGAAAGGAAAAACAAGCTTAAGTTTCAAACCACAGTTTCGTTTTTACACAACAAACAATGTTATGTATTGATGTACATTGTAAACATCAATACCTTGATTCCATGACTTGAAACAGTAGCATGAGAGCCTAGAGATAAACCAAAGGGAAAGCTGTTTGCAAGAAATGGTTTTGGCGTTCACAGAGAAAACAAAGAGACTTGCTGATTCTAAAGCTAATATATATTTTCTGTCTATGATGATTACAGATTGCCATAAAAATTATAGATACATATATTTTCATGTTAGTGTTCGCTTTCGAGCATTTGCTGGCACACCGAGGCATGCAGTATCCTGTAGTTGATTATTTGCTTTATTCTCGTCACCACTCCGCTTGACAATGTATCGATACTGTAAGGAGAAATAACACGTTGATAACAAATGTGCCTTGGGAAAGAATATTGGAGAAGAGAGGGCAGAATTACCTCTCTTGCCCCAAAGTTCACTCCTCAGATTTTCCAGTTGGTTTAAAGAGCGGATCAGTGATGGCATGAACTAGTTTGTACACAGACGTAAATTTTTTGCTATGAGCAATTTTTCATCGAGCGAGCGCGCGATGTGAGGGCGCGAGATTGAGAGCGAGCACGGAGCCCGAGAGCAGCTGCGAAGCGGGGTGACCCCCTTACGTTCAGGCTTTTGCAAATCCCCATGTGGTTATACATACGTTCTTGCGATCTCGACGAACTCAAGACAAAATGGAGAGCCGGTGGACAGGCTAGGCATGAACCTACCTGTACACTTGTATTGAAGGTTCCAATATGTACAGTACGAAACAGCGTGTTGATTTGATTATTGTACTGTTCATCTTCCTCTAAAAACAAATAAACAAATGGCCGATAACTTGATGACGGTAATACCCTATCCTATTAAGTCATCGGCTATAGACGGCGCAGGAACTTGATGGTTAGTATGCTGGAGTCCAGACAAGGAGTCTACATGTCGGTTCCAGCCCTCTCAGGGGTCCCTGACATTTCCAATGATCCTCTCTCCATCTCGGGCGTATGAGTACCAGTAATTAAACTTTGAGTGAACTGCACAAGAGGTTAGTCAGTTCATGCCACAGTAACTAGAGTTTACTATAGGCAATAATAAGCCGCCTGATTTCCTTAGGTCTCTAGGTTTTTATTGTAAAGTCTGCATACGAGTTAAGTAGCCCATCAGGCTGGCGCTTATCCCTGGTTTCTGTAGCATGAAGCGACTAGGAGCATTTCTACTCCCCCCTGGATGGGATGCTAGTCCATCACAGAGTGACCCCTCAGCATTAAATTTGCTGGTACGTCTGTTAATACACCTGGGTGGAGAGAGGCACTGTGCAAGAAAAGTGTCTTGCCCAAGAATACAACACAATGTCTCTGGCCAGGGCATGAACCCAGACCCCTCGAACAGGAGGCAAGCACAGAAATCATGAGGCCACCATGTGTCCACTCCAAGATTACAATGAACATTTGTAATAATTACTGTTAACTTGCAAAATGTTCTTTTAGTGTTCCATACCTTTAGCATAAGGAAAAGCTCTGTTGACTCCTGTCAGGAGAGCACTCAACATTTTGGCCTCCATGTCGCCCTTTTTTAAGAATGCCTATTGACCCAAACAGAGAGGTTCAAAGTCGCAAAATGCCATACATCGTCACTTGAGATGTCAAAAAAATCATCTTAAACTTGACAAAACAAGCTACAACCTTAAATAAAATAAGTTAAAAAAACAGGCCTTTGTGCCGGTATAAAATGGTTCAAGATCTCTTACGTTCACTCTGGGATGATAAAATGGACAAACTTGCAAGCCTTGCATTGAGCTAAACTGAAATTAACTTGTCAATATCACAAATGCTAATTTTATGAACTTACACCAAAGAAGGAAAAATAGATAGAAATGAGTCTGGTGGCTAGTTCACTATCTTGTTTAGTGAGGATCAACTGGTTAAGAAAACAGACAGCAAAATATCTGCAAAAAAATGAAAAAATTAATACAATCATGAAACTTCCATTACTATTACAAGCCTGTTCCTAGACTGATCACAACCTCTCTATTTTTAATGCACACAAAAGGAAAAGCAATTGAAGTGAGCGTGAGCAGAAAGAATGAGGGGGTGAGAGCAGTGAGGGAAGCAATTTGAGCTGGTGTCCAGTTCTCTCGCAATTCAATCCTTGTATTCAAAGATCAAATAAAAATTTGAGAAAATAGAGGGTTGTGAACAGTCAAGCCTGTTCCTGTTTGAGACTGTTACTACTGAAAGAATACCAGTCTTCTGTCCTTTCTATCTGGATCTTGCTGTGTTCAATCCATAATAACAAGTGGCCAGCACGTAAGGCTGACATTCCCCCACTTGGTTGATATGCTAAGACTTTGGAAGGCCAAATTTATCCTAAACGTAGAAGTCACAAATAAATGATTGAGCTTGCATGTAGATCTGGCCCCAATTGTTCGAAGGCTGGATAATGCTATCCACTGGATAAATTGCTGTCCAGTGGATAAAGGTTGACAAAACTTGTAAACCACTCTATACACTGGATAGTGATTTATCCGGTGGATAATGCAACCCATCTTTCGAACAACCCGCGCCTGTATGTTATATGTATATCCTTTCACTTACTGGGCCTTGATGGCAATGTTGGGTCTATAGAGGAGTTTCTCAATCTCCTTGGTGACTACAAGCTTCATGTTTGGGTGTTTAGTGACTAGAGAAGGAAAAAAATACACATATACAATGTAAAAAGGTGCATGTACATGTACCATATACATGTACACACTAGTACCCAACAAACTCTGACTTTACCTAGCAAGTTTTTTTTTCAAATAACACTTTCTGAAAGTATATACTCAGTGACTTTCACTTAAACAGTCACACACAGAAATTTGCAAGACAGACCAGGTTCGAGCCATGGCCAGGACTATTACATCGTATTCTTGGGTAAAATACTCTACTCTCACCTGTAGTGCATCTTTCAATCCACTCAGATGTACATGTACATGTATAAATTGGTACCGGTAAATTTAATTCTGGGGATAACTCCCTGTGATGGACTAGCATCCCATTCAGTGGAAAAGGGAAATAATCCTAGTTGCTTTATGCTTTAGAAACTGGGAAAAGTTTTGCTGTTACGGACCAATCGGTCACACAGAGAATACCTTTTGTTTACACCAGATCATAGTCATCATCCATCCAGAGAATATCTCTGGGCTCAGTTCATGCAATAGCTTTCATTTAGAGCAGTTTTCAATTGAGTGTCGAAAGTAATCAGAGAATTACGTTGGTTTTGGTTTTGGTTTTACTTTGGTTTGAGATTGGCTGAGTAGTCTAATATTGGTGAGTAACTGGTTTAGTTTTGATTTTATGACACTCAATTGAAAACCGCTCTATGAATAGTAATACTAGGATTTCATGCACAGATCTAAAAGCCAAAAAATTGAAGTTTGACGGTGAGAGAGTCTGATCTCCTGGGATCCTTACCTAAACTTCTTGTCAGATAAACAGCTTTTGATGCCACTTTTCTGTCTGGATCTCCTATCTTGTTGACAAGAAGACTCAAAAGAATCTAGAACAACAAATGGCATTGAAACTTAGTAAACACCTTGCGCACAATGTACTAAAATTAATTAGTATGCAAGACTTAGTCCACTGTAGTCGCAAACCCATACCTTCCCTTTCAGTTTATGTAGCCATTTCCTGTTGTCCTACACAATCCAATGAATCCAAATTTGCCTGATTACCACAGTCCTAGCTGTGGGAATCACTTTTCCCATCCCTGACCCCCCACAGACACCACATGTACAATGATCAGATACGTGCCACTCCAGTAGATTAAATATTTTTCCCAGATTGTACACATCATACAGTATAAAGGTTAAGTCTGCATATGAGCCAAGTGGCTCATCAGGCCACAGCTCACCCTGATTTCAGTAGCATGGAGCGACTAGGAGTATTTCTACTTCCCCCTGGATGGGATGCTAGTCCATCACAGGGTTACCCCCTGCATTAAATTCGCCAGTACCCATTTATACACCTGGGTGGAGAGAGACACTATGAGAGTAAAGTGTCTTGCCCAAGGAACACAACACAATACCCCCGGCCAGGGTTCGAACCAGGACTACTCACTCCGGAGTCGAGTGCACTAACCATGAGGCCACCGTGCCTCCCATATAAACCAAGGTGAAAGCCTTGGTACTGTAAACAATTTACCTTTGTGTTTAACAGCTAACTGATTAACTTTAAAGAAATTGAATGCTCATGCATTTAACAATTTTAACTCACTTGTTCCTGTTCTGGTTTTTCCGACAATAAATCATATACTGTTCCTGTAAAAATATTAATCAATTGCAGTGACAAGCTTCTTATAAAGCTATTTGAATGCATTAAACAGTTAGTTTACACAATATATATACTTATTAATAGATTGAGCAGCAAATGAAAAAATTTCAAACATTTAAAAGTCAGTCTACAGAGCTAGTACCATATCATACGTACCTAACATTTTACTTCTAATGTTAACCAAAGTGTCTTGAAGAAGTTTCTGCAAATTAAACACAAGTTAGAGAACTTATATATATTAAATTACCAATACATGTCACAACATAAATTTTGAAAAGTAGCAATTCAGTACACCACATTACCTTGTAAACTATGTAAAAAAAAATACATGTATACACCTATATATGTACATGTATGTTAGTTAAGTACTATTATTAGATGGCCATAATTTCATAATAATGTTCATTCTGAGAATGCTACTTCAGTACATCAAGGAAAGTAATTCAAACCCATGCAATACTAGACAGTTAAGATCATTCCCCAGTATTGCATTGAGCATCCCAACTGCACATAATTTCACGCATGATCAATGCGCGTGCACACATTAAAAAATAGCAGCTTTTTCTTTATGGCTGGACCTTGCCATAGTGGTACATCATCATTTTCTCCCAAAGTATGGTGAGTATGGTGACCTATCATTTTTTTCTGTTGTTTTGAATTGACTAATAAGTTTCTCTGTGTAAAATAAATATGGACCAATTTTCAGTGTAGAACAAAAAACAATCATCGGAAACGTAAATTTAGGAAGCAATCATGACTACAATCATGGTGCTATTATAGGATCTATTGGGTATAAACAAGGTGCTGCTACAGTTGGTCCTTAACAAACATGGGGACCCCTCATTTTTATTTCAAAATTTAGGTTTCTATTAACACAAACAATCAATAGGCAAAGTTTCACAAAAATCTTAGTGCAGGTTCTATTTTAGTGGAATGAGTTCAAGCTACAGGCTGAACATTATCAAATTATAACATTTGATATTCAATAACAATATGATTGCAAAGTCATGGCAAGCTGCTTTATTACCTCTAAAACTTCAATGAACTCTTTGTATCGTTGTTTCAGCAACTCCTCAAAGTGCCACAGAATAAGTCGCCTGTCACGTTCAACCCAGCCACCACCTTTATGAACAACTTCTACCAGTGAAGTCAAAGGATTCTGTTTGTTTGAATATATTGGAACAAATAAAAGGCTGATTTACACATTGTCAACAAATAAAAAAAAAATGGCTTGGCTTAGAAAAAATGGTATGAATACCCAAAAAAGCAGTACGGCACAGAAAAATTTTGTTGTGTAAACGACATTTCCTCAGCCTTGCTAAGCCCAAAATTTAACTTTAGTGTCTTGTGCTTTGACTACCTATTCAGTAGGTCAATCTGACCTCTCACCTCACCTATCTTCTTCACGCTCTGTTGCGCATAAGGCAGCAGGTCAATCTGAGCATGGTTAAAAATATTTTTTTGGGCTCGGCTAACATGAGAAAATCATTCACAGAACAGGCTGAGGAACTTTTCTTGGTATGCATCATTTATATTGGAAACATGCAAAAACTTTTTGTTGTGTAAACCAGGCTTAAGTTAGATATTTATGTACATATAACATGTACAGCGATTAAACTGAAAGTAGCCAATTACATACAGTCAGCTTTTCTGTCTCTTGCAACTTTTATGTTATTAAACAAAGGCAAAGCATATTTAAAAGAACCTCGCAAATTCAGACCTGGACAAACTTTCTCAGCTTGCGATTATTTGGCAGCAACAATGTCATCCAAAGCTCTTTCAACATGTCTGTGAGTTTTAAAAGAAACAGACTCATAAGCACAATCATCGATGAGCAGGTGGACATTGAAAAACATAGTCTCAAACATGTATGATCTACATTGTTTAAGTTGTGTTAAAATATTTTTCATAAGCCAGAGCTCTATGGTCAAGTTCATAATCTGATTGCTAAAGAAGGTGCCTTACAGCTTTCTCATGATCAACAGTTGGTCATACAGCACACAGCCTGGTTTGGTTGCTATTGCTGTTGTTGTTGTTGCTGTTGTTGTTATTGTTGTTGTTGTTGTTGTTGTATTGATATCTTTGTCTTGTTGTTTTGAGGAGAAAAAAACAACTTATCATAATTTGTTGCTAATAATTTATTTGTAATACTTAACAAGAGACGTCGGACAACTTACCAACGGCTATAATGCTCTCTCTTCTTCCCTTCTTTTTGGCCATGCTAATTAAAATGTCCAAGGTTTTCAGCCGATGTACAGCAGACTCCTGCAGATGGGTCATTTAATGATTTACAACCAAAAGTCTTAACTTACAACTATTTTTATGTCAATGGAGAGGTAAAACATTATTGAGATTGACTTTTTACAGAGTTGTCACAAAGTCTTGCTGTACGTTACGCAGCTGTTTAGTCATGCCCATTGTTTTCTAAAAAATCAGATGATTAGCTTAGAAATTCTGTATCGAAGCCAGCTGAGATCATTAACTAGATGGTGGTTTCATAAGCTATTTCAACTTGGACCAACCCTGCTTGTATTCGGATGGTTACAAAATTAATTTAAAAAAAGCTTAGAACTGTCACATTTTTTTTCGTCAAATTCAAGGCAATTACAACATAATTTTATTCTTTTTTTTACTCACCTGTATTTGAACAGTAAGAGCAGCTACTTTGTCACTCAGTGTTCCTGAACTGACAACAGATTTCAACCACTCTGAATCTGATGACTTCTCTTTTGCCTTCACTGAGAATGAAAAAACATAACTTTGATAAGAACAGTAGTAAATGTAGACATAAATCCATTGCACTTGTAAGGTCCATGGATTAGCATTGTGTAAAAGTTGGTTGGGTACAGCATTTGCTGTGGCTAAATAGTCCCAAAGAGATTCCCTAATGAAGTGAAAATTATGAAGTCAAATTTTAAACTCCTAGAGCCTTAGATTACACAAAATTTGTAAATATCCTGTTGCTGTTTCATAATTGAAGCAGCTGCCTTTTAACCTCTGTGGGAAATTGCCACTGGGTATCACTTGACTAGCAGAAATTAATCACTGCCAAAGGTTATCAGGCTGGCAATGCATCACTTGATAGATTTAACCCTCATTCACTACACCAGTCAACTTTTTGATAAGACTTACTTTTATCATAGATGTTGACTTCATTCTCCAGAAGATCAGCTGCTTCTTTACAGAGCTTGGCAATATCTGCTTGACTAGGGGAGGAGTAGTTAATTTTCTCTTCCATTACCTTCAGAGTAAAATGTATTTAACATTTAATGGAAAGTTTATGTCACAAAAATTATCAGTGATTAAAAAAAAGAAAGCTACATCAGCATGGAAGAGCAAGCAGTCATATACTTGTACATGTATGGAAAATACTCACATGATTGTGTTCAATTACTATAATTTAAAATTGTGTATTAATTATTAAAATTCAATTCACCTTCTTTTATAAGCTTCTCAGACTGACTGAGAAAAATGAAAATTGCCTGTAGCGAGTTCATGAAATGTGCTGTTGAAAATATAAGTCAGCAACCCACAACAATGTCAGTTTTTTTCCTTTGCTTATGATATTAGATGAAGACTGTCGTGAGACATGATACAAGTTGTTCATCATTAAGTGCTAAGCAAGACCATCAGCAGAGTGTGCGCAATTGAATGACAGAAGGATTCATGAGTTTGTGCATGTAAATCTGATCCTGACAGAATTTCTCTTGTTAAATTAAGCTATCTGAAAGAACCCTCAGCTTAAAACATCATTTTGACCGGGATAAACTGTACAAGATTAATAAAAATGTTCAACCTGTTTTACTTTTAATTACTACAGGTATCAGTGCTCACCAAATCATACCAGAGCCCACCAGGCTTAATTAGCAGCTTTTGGCACGGTCTTTCTTTTCTTTCTGGTAAGACTTGGGGTTCCGGCGTAGTTGTAACAACTCCTGTTGACTCCACTCCTTTTTCAGCACCTTGTGATTTCAGTTTCTTTCCTTTCTTCCCTTTCTTTCCTTTTTCTGATTGACCACCCTCTTGAATGTCTTCATGTTTAGGCAAACTGTCTTTGATGTTCCCTGCTTTAGCGGCACTCTCACTGTCACAGACAATCAAAATTAATGTATTTAGACATTTACTTTGTCATGAATAATAGACAGTTAATAAACTCCAAGCCAATTGACGTTATTGCAGGGTACATGTAGGTACTTTAAAGGAAGCAGAAGGGGAGAGCAGCTATCCCCTCTGTAGTAATGAGGTCACCATGGCAGCCCAGTCCAGGGTGCATTCAGTGTAGGTTACACCAAAGATCTTCACCGAGCGTGGCTTTCAAAAATGTGGCGGTGAATTGGCGTATAGCAGTGTGTACATGTACATTTATATTTCCTGGTGCTGGCTTATAGACGCTGAACTACATGTATGTAAGGTGACTCTGCGTGATAATCATAGGCCTCTTAACTTCTCTTTATCACCCATATTGAATACTGTATCCCGGCCAAAAACAGGCATCTCAAATGATCCATTTGAGTCCATATTTTCCCACCTGACTTGAATTGGGGTGGCAGTTTTACAGCATTCTATGGTCATGGAATTTAAAAAGCCTCAGTGGCATATCTTCGGTGTGGAAGTCTTGCAGAATGCACCGTGAAGCCCAGACTCATGTCACATGTAGCACTGTAAAAAGACAGTGTCTGGAAAATATACTTACCTAAGTGGGACGGGGGAGGGCAAACCAAACAAGGAAGAGCATTGCTCCTGGAACTCCTCTTTAAAACTGTTTAATTACGTACCTGTATTTCATTTCTTTGCCTTTAAAGCTAATTTTGTCCAGACCAAGTTCCTTGATATATGACATTATCTGTTTTGCGGGCAAAAGGTTGACAGTTAAACTTGATGCTGCACTGATTCGAGCACATGATTTTGTGAGTATAAAGACGTTACATCAATGTGAAAAGTTCCATGACCGAGTTTAAATCAGCAAGTGCAAGGTTTGCACTGTTTAAATTTACACTTTGTTGAAAATATAAATAAATAATGTAAGTTTATTGACCATTCTTTTACCTCTTTTTCGTTTATATTTTCTGACGCATCCTCCTCATTGGAAACAAAATCGCCCGATATATCCACATCCTTCATCATTTCAAAGTCATCCTGAAAGTGAAACGTGAAATGTAGGTCATCAAAAGACAGACTGATAATGCAATAATGAAATTAAGTTCAATACATCGCACCTTACGAACCACAGAAGAGAAATGACACATACCTTGTCTCCTCCGACGGCAAGAACATCCTCCAGTGTTAAATCACGGGCATTTTGTTTCGTTTTTCTACTTGCGAGCTTGGCACGTTTGTCCGCCATATTGAAACTGCTGCACGTGTCTCGATCTAGAGGTTGTGTAAATAATCACGAAACGTGACTTCTGCAAATGTGCAAGCGGTTCAAGTAGGTCATTGTATTCCAACATGGCGGACAACATAGATCCTGATATCTTTGAAGCTACCCAAGCATATTCAAATGTTTCGGATTATTTTAAAGATCCGCATCAGTGGACTTATCGATGCGAAGGATCCTGGACTGTGGTGGTATCGCTGACCAAACTGAGAACAGTCTTGCGTTTACGAAAGCACGAGAGAAAAAACTCTTCGGCTTTGAAACTGAAAGATCAAACGCAGTATGAACAAGAAATGTTACGCAATCTTGATTTTGCCAAGAGTGTTATGTTACCGCTGATGGGAGGCCGCTACGTTCATTTAGGGAAGGCAATTTTTGTTCCAGAAGACTTCGCGTCAGCCATGAATGGAATATGCCGAGGCTGTCGACCAGAACAAAGACTTGACAAAGAGATCAATGAGGGTTGTCACTCCGGGGTGCTCATGCCAGATTTGTGTTTCCTTCCGTCGCTTCCACAAGCTGACTCGACTGAAGAAAATTATCATTACGGGATGAAAACGATGAATCCAACTTTCTCTGTCGAGATAAAGCCAAAATGCGGCTTTCTTCCCACTTCACCTTTCATCGACTCGACAAGAGTGGCAAAGTACACTGTCTGCTCTTATTGTATGCTTCAGAAAACGAAAGTTAAAGAAGGAAACTATAATAGAGAAAGCAGTTATTGCCCCTTGGATTTATTCTCAGGAGAACCAAGAAGAGTCATGTACGCCTTGGAATGTCTAGTATCTGATCCTCAAAACAACTTGCGTGTTTTTTGTGATGGCAGTGGAATATTCTCTGAGGAGTTAGTCCAAAGAGCAATTCAGGAAGGGAGAGCGTGTTGTGCTGAGAACTATTTTGAGGTTACTCTACAAGAAATGAAGGTCTTTACAGATTGTGTGACTGGACTAGGTCACAAATGTGGAGATGGCATGACTACAGAGTGTCATAAGTGTGGGGATGGTGTGACCACAGAGGGTCACAAACAGGAAGATGGTGTGATTAAAGAGAGTGACATTCATATTGATGGCGTGACCAGAGAAGTTCAAAAGTGTTGCTGTGTGGGTCCCTTTACACAGAAACTCCTGGGAATTTTGCTTGGAATTCTAATAAGTGACTCAAAAACAAACCAAATACATGAAAATAAAGTCGGCATGTCATCAAATGCTACAGTGTGTAACAAAAGCAAGTATCTTGACTGCAACAATGGTATTCAAAGTCAGTTGAACTGTTTGCAGTTTGGAAACGGAGGAGTTCTACAACAGCTTTTGTCAGTACAAAAATTAGACAACATTGATGTGGAGGGGATTTATCCACTTTACAGGAATGTTATCAATCACTTTGAGCGTAACCCTGGACTAAGAAGCAGCCTTGGTGTTGATGGGCCTTACACTTTACCCCTGTGGAAAACAGTAGCCTCTTCCCTTGGAAGGGACAACTTGAAAACCCCAGACAACATTCAGTTGAATGCTGATCTGAATGATCCCAATAACTTATATGATGCTGTTGTGAGAATCTGCAAATTTGCTGTTGCAAGTACTGCGAAGGACTTCTCTGTAATGTTAGCTTTTCAGAAAACTTCAAATAAGGAGACAAGATTACCAACTGTTGAAATGGCTTGTGGTGATAAGTATCACTACAACATTGATCTTGTTGACTTGGACCCTAAAGAATTCGACAGGGTGAGAAAGTACTACAAGGATACCATAAAAACTGTCAAGATATTTCTTGAACAATAATAATCTGGTTCGTTTTTTTAGACACTATATTGTGCATGGATGGCCTCTTACGTGTTAATCTTCCTACTTTGAAGGGTATAGATTTTAAGACATTTTTTCTTTCTTTTATACCATATAAAAACTTGATCTTTAGACCTGGTATGAGATGTCCAACATTCACTACTGTACATGTAGGCCAGTGCAGGATACACTGTGTTGCATTATTTTTCTTAATCAATTTCAGTTGGTGGGAAAGTCTGCCAGAAAGATGACCACTTAATTCTTTTGCAATCTACTGGGAATTTTTTTCTGCATAGGAGGTTGATTTTTTTGTTTTTATTTCAGGTTTCCAGTCACTCGCAGGAGTATATTTTTAATGTTGCAAGGTTATTAAATAAATACTCTTTTCTAAATACTAGTTTTTTAATGAGGCAAACTGTTAATGGCAGGGTTTGTAAAAAAAAAAAATTCAACACCAGAGATTTCTTAAGATTTAAACCTGGGCAACAAGTGTATGAGATTGGCCTTGGATGTGATCACTTTAAACCCTAATTATTACACTATCACTTCACCCTTATTATGCTAAATACATGTACTTTGTAGAATGTTAAGGGCAGCAACAGCAATAATCTGCAAGGGTCTTTGCAGTCAAACTACTTAATCCATATACAGATACAAGGTGCATGCATGAAGAAAATCAATTAAGTAGTTTTGAGGCCACATGAATTCCCAACACCATTTTTTAATATTCTTTTTGTTTTACGTTCAACTGCTGTTTTTCAAATCTTTTAACAGCACACCTGTGTTTCTGAGATATTCTTGAGCTACAATGTCAGTTTTCTCTCACTGCACCAAGATGTAACCCATGGCTTTGATGTCTTTGTCTCCATTATCTGGGCTGTGTTTGGCCACATCTCCACACGTGTTGGAGTCCACAGGGAGCCCTCCTGTGCCAAACCCAATTCTGAAATCACAACTGGCACAGTCATTTTCCTGGTTACTAATAGTGCCAATTCTTGCTTTGGCAACGCGATTATTGCTACCTATAGCATTAAACCCTTCCTTGTTACAGTTGCGCTGTAAGGAGGACTGTGAACCGATCAGCATCTTCCACGTTTTACGACCCATGGAGGTAGCACGGTATTTACCATCAGCGATCAGTGAGTACAGCAAGCTGGCCTGCTTGTTGATGACCATAAAAGTGATCTGTTGGCTGATCTTCATTCCAAGACAGATCTTGGAGAAGGGTGTTTTCCAGTAGCTCGACATTTTGGTCTCTTGTGAGTCAAACCCAGTCTTGCCTCCTGCAAGATTGTAGGCATTTCTGTCGCCCCAAAATTTAGAATCATAGTGGAAAGTTTTCTGGAATATAAAATTGAGAAAAAATGTCACATTAAATATGTTACATTTGCCAAGATTGAAATACACGACCTCATTTCCAGGCCTTTCCCCTATTCCAGATTTCAAGGCGAAAGCCCTGGAAACGAGGTTGTGAAATGTGGAGGAGATAATTCCTCACCTTGTTGCCGTCAATCTTCATTGCCAGCGTCCATCCTCCATCTCCACATCCAAAGTTTCCCATGTGACAGTAAACAGGAATCTTTTGTGAACCAAACTTCAGTGGAAACACTTGACTTTTTGTTGACCTGGGTAGAAGAAAAATCATCCTGTTTAGATTAATCAACATCTTATTACAGTGGAAGCCCATCAATCCAGTCATCAACGGGCCACAAAAATCTGGCCATATTTAACAGGGTGGTCATATTAAAGGGGCTCTTTAAATAAGAAAATGACTCACTGAGCTTTTGTTCTAGCTAGAATAAATTGGTCATAATAACGAGGTGGCCGTATTAACAGGGTGGTTGTAAGGCGGGGTTCCATTTTGTCATTACAATATCAATACAGTGTCAAGCACACTAGTGACTAGTGATGAGAATAAAGATAATCATCAACTGGGACATGATGTCTTGTTGCGGCACCAAATTTAGATTCACAGGATGAAAACAAAATGGAAAAAGTAATCCACTAATTATTTTAAAATAGACCCCCGGTCAATATGGAGAACAATAATTTGATCCCCAAAATCCTATGAAAACTAGCTAGCAATAGGCTCTTTGCATCAAATTTACTCTTAAGTTATATCAAGGTTTAACTCTATCTCAAAAAAAAAAAATAGATTACAAACCGGTGATTTGCTCAGAGTTGACATGGAAAACACAAAAACACGAGTTAGAAGCACCATCTTAGTTAGTTAAGGTCAGAACTCCGTACCAAAGTAGCAGAAAGTCTTAATTTCGGGGAAAAAACAATTAAAGAAGTCGCCGTTTGGACGAGTTGCGTGCCTATACTCTAAATCTGACATCAAAATTAGAAGTAAAAAATATTGAGCTACCGTAGTAAATATGGAGAGAAAGTATGAATTTTACCCAAAGTTTGATCGCGAAAGAGTGTAAAAACTTACTTCATGATCGCAATCTGCGGCACAAAAATTCCCACCTTCTATATTAGGAGCAGTTGGCGGATTTACGAACTGTTTTAGACATTTAACTGGTGGGTATAAAATCTCAAGAGCTTCAAATTACAGAGGAAACAGTGTGCACCAACTTACTTTTATTTTTCATACTACTGCTTGCACGAAGAAGCGGGAACAGCTTGAAAAAGATAAAACTCCAATTATTTTTGAAATGCCTCACTGATCCAAGAACATACTGACAAAAAAGAAAGTTTATTACCTGGCTGAGGAGAAGAAGGTTTCTTGATCACTGAAGTAAGGCTTTCCATTTTTGTTTGCAGCATTTTCATGGCATTGTTGGCGTCCGAATCGTGAATCATGTTACAGATCAGGTTACAGGCCATCATCTTGTCGTATGGTTTGGTGCAAGATGGGGGAGATTTGTCTGCATTCACGCCCAGTATAATCGAGATTGCGATAAAACAAGCTTGAAAAGACAAACGCATTTTGGCGATTTGTAGAATAACGTTTTGCTCCACAAATGAATTGTGCGAATCATTTATCCTTATGACTGACGCACAGTCTTCGCCTTGTTTATGTCCAAGCTGACCGAAGTATTATTTAAAAAACCCGAAATTTTTCTTGCTTGCTTGCCGCCCGCGTCCAATGAAACTTGGTCCAAGTTTACCCGGAAGTTTGTTGGTATGTTCACGCGCGTAGCCCTGTTTATTTCGTGGGGGGCCTTTTATTTTCTCGTGTTTTCTTTCAGTAAACGGCCTGTTCTATGCACTCACACAACTTGAAGAAAAGGAAAATTTGTACTGTTCTGAGCCGGGTCTAAGTTGGCTAAAAACTGACCCGAGTTAGTTATCCTTGGCTGGGAATAATCGAGCGAGGCAAGGAAACTGGCGTCTCTCACCGCTCGATCGTGTCTATAACTTCGCGTTGGGTTCGCTCAATTTGGAAAAACAAGATGGAAAAATTGTTCTTAGCCTTTTATAAAATCTTTTCCACGTGGTGCCTGGACCCCAGAAAACGCTTCATTGATGAAAGCCATTTGTTTTCTGGCAGGGTATCGTAGAATTGATCCTGACTATAAGAATGTGGGTGGGCGAGAAAATGAAAGCAAGGGGCACTGTGGATGAGGCAGTAGTATTTGAGTAAAAATTGAAACAACTCGGCACTAAGCTTGCGCCACGTAGACATTTTCACGCGATACCCAGTAACTGGCAAAGCGCTTAACTTTATTTCAGTTTGAATACAACTGTTATTTGGATAGACTAATTAAAAAGTCAACGGACTTGCATTGAATTTTGTTCACGCGCTTGTGTCAGTATTTGCTTTCTTTCATAAGGCCTATTCCATTCAATCATACAGCGGGGAGAAAACAAAAAACGCGTGCTAACTAAGAAGAGCAGTCTAAACCTTTAGCTTTCCTTACAATAAAAGTGAACTGATTTAGTTAGCTAGGCTGTGTGTATTTGAGCGAGGCAAGGAAATTGGCGACTCTTATCTCGCTCCTCACCGCGTGATCTCGTGATAATAACTTCGCGTTTAATTCGCTGCAGTTTGGAGAAACAACATAGTTAACAAGGTTCTTAGTGCGGTGTTTTGGCCAAATAATTGCCATTTTTAGCCATTGGTGAAATCATAGCTTCGAATTTTTGCGCACGGACTCGCTTTATAGAGATAACTGCAGCTGAGTGAATTTAGAATGTCGGCGGACGAGAAAAGAAATTGAATGCAAGGTTTTAAATAACTGGGGATTGAGAGGTCAGCGACTAAACAATAATTGAAACAACTCTGACACTGAGCTTCTGCCACGCAGACATTTCCACTCGATACTTATAACTGGCTTTTTCCCCGGCAATGCAACTGTGATTTGGATAGATTATAAAAAAGGTCAACGGACTTTTTGTTTTACAAATGAACATTGATGCATGCTTCGGAGTAAACTTCACAAATACGAACAATTGTATGAAACGTCACTTAGATTATTTACCTCAGTCTATAACGTTCCATGTGTTAAATATTCTCGGTTCAGTGTTGATTCTCCTTACAGATTGTTTTTTTAATTCATTTGATACCAGTTTTGAGAAATTAGAGTTACATCAAGGTTTTATTACCAAATATGATGATATTCTTGTCACAAGCCTAATGGACTGGTCACCTTGAGAGAACAATTCTTCTCAATCGAGCATTGTGTTCAGTGACAAAATGGAACTGACCTGCGGAACGTTGTTTGAAAAGAGAACTAACAGAGTGTCATCGATTTCTCTTTCTGACAGATTGATGAACAAAAATGATTGTTAACGAAAATTAATCGACAAATGGAGGTTACTTTTTCTGACAACTTTTTAGTAAAGGTCATTGTCGAATTCGCCTACATAGTAAATAATGGATTCATTAATTATGGAATATTTTGTAGAATCTTTAAGTCTTGTGAATAAATTTTCCGTAAGCTGAGTTCATTTTACCGACACTATCCTTGAAAAGGACGCTGTCAGCGCGATTTACAGCAGTTTTTGTCAAATCAGCGCTTAAACTTGTTTTAGGCTAGATACCCCTTTTGCTCAGTTCACAAAAGGCTCCCACAGCAAATCAATAGAGATATCAAGAGAGAGCAAATTCTAGTAAGTATTCCGTGATTTTTCCAAGAGACGATGATAGAATTTGAAAAACAGGTATGTGTGGTAAAGTTTCGGCATTTTGAATTTGATATCAAAGTCGTGTGTATGTTAAGCTTACTATTCTACCCCATTTATAACTGAAACGCACTATAATAGTAATTATAACAAAATCGATAACCTACATTTTTTTATGAACTGTACGTTTTGTTTCTGAAGTTTCGAAGCCTGCTTCGCCCATTGTGACCGCTCGCTTTCTTCACCGGACTGATTTGTTCATTTTAACTAAGTATCCACCCAAGCAGCGAGCCATATCGAGACAACCTTGTTCTCAGGGTAGAGAGAAACCGGAGGGGGCGGGATTTAGAGAGACCCTGGGATGAGGTTATTGAGTTTGTGCACGTGTTAGCAGGGAAGCGTCGGGAAGATCCAGAAAATGAGTCGAGTGACCTTTGTCTTCTTGCTAGAGACATGACGGCTGAAATTCAGGCTAAACTTTTATTTTTCATTTTCGTGGACCGTGACCAAAGCACAGAGCTATGAGCGACTGTGCGCGCAAGGTCCTTCTAAAACAGCACATCTCCGCACCGTTTCTCGCAGTCCACTAATTCTATAGCCTGTTAGACGTCTCTTTAATACATCTTGTCGTTTCCCAAGTCTATCGCAAACGCAAGCACACAGCGCAGTGCGGATTCTCTAAATGCGCACAGGGGACAATGGGAAAAATGAAAAGACGAGAAGGTACAATCCCGTGCGCAGAGCCCGCGTAGTTTCAGTCAGGTGACTAAACGCCGAGACTGAAGGAGACGAAAGGCTCAGCTCATCTCGCCTAGAAAAACCTGCGGAAGGGGTAGTACGTGTTTGGGATAACAAGCGTTTACATTTTAATTCCCATCTGTTGATTGCTTTGCGTTCTTTCCTCTAAATAACGAAAGTTACCACGAAAAAACTCCTGTAAAGGGAGAAATGACAAACGTAACCATCATAGACCCTTTCAATAAATGGCAGCCAATTATAATTATTTTGTAAGTATTAAAATTAGCCTTACTAACTTCGTTTTTAAGTTAATTCAAAGGAGTTTTTACTCTCAAACGATGTTAGTGAGGCTTAATGAAATGTATACAGAAAAAAAAAATTATAATAAAATTGACAACCTTACAAGAAACGGGTCCATGGGAAATTTTTTGGTCTTTGTTTTTATTTGTTGTGTTAATAGGAAGATGTGCATGATAGTAAAGTGGTATCTGATCCACGCATAATTGTGTTAAAACAATCGAAACGAGCCAAAATTTTAAATAAAATTTTTAATAGCATTCATGTTAATTAGTCAATCTTTTCACAAAACATACATCTTTATAACTAGAGTCTGGGCAAATAAATTAGAACAATGTAAACTGGAAAGGCTTCTAAAACCCTCACACTCTCAAGATCAATAGGCGAATTCTCCTAATTGACTACCATAGATTCTCTAATTTTTAGCGTCAGTTCTGAGAATTTAGTGATGTATTAATACAATAACATTTGATCATGGTTAACCATTGTTTTGAAAAAAAAAACATTTCCTCTAGTGCACTTGTGAAGAAATAAGTTGACAATCGTNCAATCGAAACGAGCCAAAATTTTCAAATAAAATTTTTAATAGCATTCATGTTAATTAGTCAATCTTTTCAAAAAACATGCATCTTTGCAACTAAAGTCTGGGCAAATAAATTAGAACAATGGAAACTGGAAAGGCTTCTAAAACCCTCACACTCTCAAGATCAATTGGCGAATTCTCCTAATTGACTACCATAGATTCTTTAATTCTTAACGTCAGTTCTGAGAATTTAGTGATGTATTAATACAATAACATTTGATCATGGTTAACCATTGTTTTGAAAAAAAAAACATTTCCTCTAGTGCACTTGTGAAGAAATAAGTTGACAATCGTTACGGAGATTTAAAAGGCCGAAAACAACGCTACATGAATTACATTACCCACGTCTGCACGCTTTCTTAATGTTGCTACAGGTCCAGCTTCTTCAAACAGTGGAGCCCCGTCTTACAAAGATGTTAATAAGAACACCTCGTTATTATGGCGTTTCTTTCAGCCAAAGTAAAGCTCAAGATACCCTTTAATACCTACATCACTACCCGGATTAAACGACCACCTTTTAGGCAAAGCTCAGCGGTGCTCATGTTAACGGGTGTCCACTGTATGTACTGTCACTAAATTAGTGCTATCTGCTCTGTTCACTTGAAAAGAACCACAATGTGGGCGGAGAAGAAAGGAACTTCTTTCGTTCCTTTTGTTATAGATGTTGTTTTTTTCAAAACAGAATCCAATATAAAACAGCTACTGAAACATAAACAAGAAAAACTTCAGAANATTTCCTCTAGTGCACTTGTGAAGAAATAAGTTGACAATCGTTACAGAGATTTAAACGGCCGAAAACAACGCTACATGAATTACATTACCCACGTCTGCACGCTTTCTTAATGTTGCTCCAGGTCCAGCTTCTTCAAACAGTGGAGCTCCGTCTTACAAAGATGTTAATAAGAACACCTCGTTATTACGGCGTTTCTTTCAGCCAAAGAAAAGCTCGATACCCTTAAATACCTACATCACTACCCGGATTAAACGACCACCTTTTAGGCAAAGCTCAACGGTGCTCATGTTAACGGGTGTCCACTGTATGTACTGTCACTAAATTAGTGCTATCTGCTCTGTTCACTTGAAAAGAACCACAATGTGGGCGGAGAAGAAAGGAACTTCTTTCGTTCCTTTTGTTATAGATGTTGTTTTTTTCAAAACAGAATCCAATATAAAACAGCTACTGAAACATAAACAAGAAAAACTTCAGAAAGACAATATTCAAATGAAAAACAGGAAGGGAACGGTCTTCTAGCAAACTTGCAACATTCTCGTAAAAGATGACATCACAAGTTTAAACAAGGAGTTCTGGAATATAAGGGACATCTGGGCATTTTCGCGTGAAAAACACAGTAACAAATACCTTACACCCATTTTTTGGACTCCGTTTTAGATATGCGCCCTTTTGCTGGTGAGTTGAGACAGGAGTTTTTAATTTATACCAAAAGATGGGAACTATGGACTTGGCAATGACCATGGTTAAATTCTTTTCCCGGGTGTTGTTTATGATGATTAAAAACAAAAAAAAAAAGGAAAAAATAGAAAATAAAAATGACTGAGGCAAGTGTCTCGGTTTGCTTGTTACTAGCAAAGGCCCTGAGTGTCATTAAGAGATTCGTTTTCACAGCTGTTACCATAATACAAACTAAATTGATAACACTTAATTTTTATTTGGCACAAAACTAAAATCACAACAATCAGTACAAACACTTCATATATGTATCATTAGAATAGTCATCATACAGTTACACCGATTATTATATTTTATTCCGATTTGTTGAAAGATAACTAAATACTCATGATAATTTGTTATTCCTAAGGAAGATAACCTCAAAGCTTTAGAATAAAGCCGTTCAAGACTCGACAGGCTGAGGCAGTCTCCAATTTAAATGTAGATCAAGGAGCCCTTTAAACCGAAAACTTCTGATTTAACGCAACGATGATTCCAAGACTCTAAGTTTACTCGGTAAGAATTACAGTCTTTCCTTCACGATTTTTACTTAAGTTTGTAATTACTATGAGAAACTTTACTAATGCCAGTTGCAGATACAGAAATACCACTTCCTAACCAATAGTTTCAACGTATTACCTAAAGGTACAAGCTCTGATTTAACGCAACGATATAATTCCAAGAATCTAAGTTTACTCTGTCAAAATCAAATAATTTCCTTCAAGATTTTTACTTTAGTTTGCGATTACTCTGGTAAATCTTAGCGATGCCAGTTGCAGATCTGATGCAGAAATACCACTTCCTAACCAATAGTTTTAACTTATTACCCAAAGGTACTGTTTCACTTCACAGAATATTACTGTAGTTTAGGTGACGAGCCTTGTTAGCTAGTGAGTGGTGACCAGCCTTGTTAGCCAGTGAGTGGAGCTCGCTCACTTGCCACTGACGGTCTTCACTTCATTCATGCTCAGCGGTTTCACTTTCCAGATTTCCTCTGCGTACTGTTTAATCGTCCTGTCACTAGAAAACTTGCCGGAGGATGCCACATTCAAGATTGCCATGGTGTACCAATGTTCCGGATCCTATGGTCCAAAGGAACGTACTTTTTATTAATATTATTATACATTGAACTCACTATCTCTTTTCTGATTGGTCAAAAGCGTACAGTGAATTTTCGACATCAGCGCCTGTGACGTCATCTCTGCAGATTCTACAATAATCATGTCAAGGATACTCAAGGTCACCGGTAATCATGTCAAGTTCGCCGGCTTTGTGTTGCTTGCCGTCAGTGAAGAAGCAAAAACATGACTTCCATTTTTTTCGTTCAATGTATAACAAAACAATTGTTAGACTCGGTTTTAGTGACATCCAGAATAATTCAAGTTTCGGTAGGGGTTATCAGCCTCAGCCTTNTATGTTAAATGGTTCACACTTTAGTTTAAAGCTGACCTGGAATACTTCACTGACACGTTCTTGGCATTTGACATACGCGTCAAAATCTGCCATCAGAAGGAACCTGTTATGTCAAACAGACATGGTGTAATCAGTACTAAATCTGTACATGTGCAGCTTTTTGACTACTTACAACAGCACATACATTGCGAGATAAGTTCCGTCATATGCACTACGCAACTTCATGCAATTCTATGCATCAAACAAAGGCCAATTAATCTGAAAAGATGATGTAAACCCTCCCATCCAATAGCACATTCATTGTGAAATGACTTGAGCCAATGTCAGACCTGGTTCGAATCCCGGGCGCTATGTTATATCTGAGTTGAGTCTGTTGTTGTTTCTCGTCCCTTTTTTACGGATTTCCAGTATTCTTTTCTCAAGAAAACCAACACTTCTACACTGCTGCAAATTGCAATTCTTTCTGGAGAAGATGGACAAATAACTAATCTGTGGATGCATCACTACTATTCCCATTCACCTAATCCTATTTTATTCATTTTCTGTGCTGTTCAACTGATCAGGATTGGCCGCCTTAGTTCGATTTCTGCTTAACTCTAGTCAGGTCTAAGTTCGTTCAGGCGGAGGAGTGCAGACTCTTTTTGAACAGCAGCTGGTAATCGAGGCTAGATTAGCCTGCACATGGACACCTCAGAAGTTATCAACCCACCTGTCATGATGCAGCAGGGAATTGACAATATCCTGGAATGTGCCAGGCTCAGTTGGTGAAAAGTAATTGTCTCTGATCTGATTGATGGCTTTTCTCAGCTCTGTGTCATTGTCGTAGTAATCCATTGGCTTGTAGCTACAGACGGAATAATTGATGAGTTATCATTGGGGATAAAAGGAAAGAAAAGATAACATTGAACAAGTTAACAAGTTTCTGTTACTTTTAGTACACCTGATGTACCTGTTCCTGTAGTCTACATGTACCCGTACACATGTGGAGCTAATTGGATCAGCACTTGATTTGACTCTGTAATCTTTGTTAAGTCTAGCCTGTATGCAGACATCCGTTATTTCCTTTGCTTCACTTCAGCGTGTGAAGCCAAGGGAATTATATGAACCTTTGCACACAAGCTATCTGTTTGAAACCACTAACAATTTCTCCTTGGAGTGCGAAAGTGGAGCCCAAAACAATCTCAAAGAGGCCATGAAACCCTCCTAATACCAACAAAGTGTTAATGAATCTATGAAATGATAATTTCTACAGTGTAGCTATAGCTTACCCCTTGGCTCTCATTGCAGTCACTTCGTCCACAGTCATGCCAAAAATAAAGATGTTCTCACTTCCCATCTCTTCACTCATTTCAACATTGGCTCCATCTAGAGTGCCAATAGTCAAAGCTCCGTTCATCTTCATTGAATAAAAACAAGACAAGGAGTAGTTAGTTTAATCACTAACATACTTTTATAAACTGAACCGCAGACCAGCAAACAATGCAGCACTGATGGACAGGACACTGTGTTATTGCAGACAAGATTACAGATGTCCAATGCTTGAAACAAGGGAAGGATCTCAGGCTAGTTTGGTTACTTACACAAAGGTTGAAGCAACTGAGAGAATTGTTTACGTGAGAAACACATACAACGTGATCAAGCTACCACTCACTGTTAAATTGACATACATACATGAAGTCTTCTTCATCTAACTACCAATGAAAAACAACAATCTGATGATACTAGGATACCATCTTCAAAGCAGTTACACTAGTTATGCATTTTATCAATGAAAAATAAATGTCAGTAACTAATTTTGTTAATCACCATGAATTTCATGTTTCCCGTTCCAGAGGCTTCAGTTCCTGCCAAGGATATCTGAAATACCAAGTTAAAAATCGCTGTCAATTGCTAAAATTGTTCTGTCACTGTTCAAACAGTTGCTGATCAATCCTGTTCAAGGTACACGTTCCTGGAATTTGCCTACATTTTAGACTGGCGCTAGGCCAGTTCACTTTGAGGATAATAAATTCTTTGTTTACTCCTAATTTAAAGTTTTGATTGAGAAGATGTATCAAACACCCGAGGCAGTGTTTCATCACATTTGTGCCATTATAGCAGAGAAATGGAATTAGGACAGAGCCAGTCTGATTTTAAAACCTGATACATGTAAGTCTCAAGAGTGACCAAAATCAGATTTCTAAGTTGTAACATCAATGCATACTCCATCACAACGGCCACAAGAATTTCCAAAATGATCATTACTGCCTTGATAGTCAATAAAAGCAGTTCCCTCACGGTGAGTACTGTATGAAGCAATGTGCGGAGAGCAGCCACAAGATTTTTTTTTTACATTGATATCATGCTTCTTTAGCATAAGCACTACAATACATGTACAGTGTCTGCATGGCTTTGCTGCCCAACATTATTCTGCAGTTTTTGAACCAATATTTCCTTGAAAATTACATGCAAAGAGCTAACCATGTCACTGATCTGTGAACACTTCAGGTCAGTTTCTATTTAACATAATGAAGTCACTATGCAAAGTCATAGTTTAATCCCTTGCTCTACCAAAATGTAAACACTTAAATCAGCAGAGCTTTCACTGCCCATTGAGTGATTACAGTGCAGTTGCCCGCACATACCTGCTCAGATAGGTCAGACGCTGGGATAACTGAACATTAACAGTCAAGAAAAATAAATTTCTCATTCAACTATTGGAATAGCCTTGATTCAGTCAGGGTAAAGTCTTAGTCGACGATGAAGTGCGAGGCTGGACTGAGCCCAGGGTTCATACCCTTTTTCAGAAACAAATTTCCAGGACTTTTCCAGGACTCAGATTGATTTTTCCAGGACTCTAAAATTCACATTAACCCTTTCACTCCCAAGATCTCAATTTTAATTCTCCTTGCTGTCTGCCATACATTTCATATTTTTTACTTGAGTTTAACAGATTTCCAGCACTTTCCAGTAGTCCCTTTCCAGGACTTTCCAGTCCTGGAAAATGCCACAGTAAAATTCCAGGACTTTCCAGGTTTTCCAGGACCCGTACGAACCCTGTGAGCCTAAAGTTTACTGTTCTGAAAGTTGCTAGGCAACTGACTTGACCATGATGGCCTGAACCCTCTAGGAGTATTTTCTCTAGGTGGATAAGCTCTTATTGTTGTTTGACTGGATGATAAATATTTCAAGAGTATGCCAACAAAGATTTGCACAAAATAATGAAATCCATTCTCAACTGGAGTTCTGCAAATGTGAACAAATTACATCAGAACTTCCTCTGATTACATGCTAGCTATTTGAAACCACACGTGGTCATAACATGAACTTTCTAAATAATCTGCAGCAGTAAATAAACCTTTGTAAAGTCCAGCAAAACGTTTTTGCAGTTGTTGGCCAGAGTAATGTCCCTCCAAGGCTAAGCAGCTTCATGCAAATTATTTCCTAAATTTTTATGTACTGATACGAAAAACAAAACACTTTTTTTTTAATTAACTGAGTTTGTTACAGTGCAGTGTCATTAATTAATATCTATAGTGCTCAAGGATACCCTTTTCAGCAAGTGAGACCCGGTAGTTTTCAAGGAACACAAGTTTGAGTTTGTCTCCAATGATTGGATCATTGTTCACCACTGCAAAAGTAAGATAAACTTTAAGTTAAAATGAGGAAAAAGTTAAGGTATACATTGTTGGGTGTGATACCACACGCTATTTAAAGCTATAATACAATGTATAACTTGTTTAATGTTCCACCCTACTCAGCAATATGACAATAATGTGGAATATCTTTGTTACCTTGTTTTAGTTACATGTAGTTTTCATGCAAGAGGCTGTTCAACAGGTTGTAAAAAGTAATAAATATTCATCTTTTCGTTACACGAGAGTGAAATGCAAAATGTTCATTAAAATACATGTAGGCTTCAGGGATGGCGGAGTGTACTTTTAATTAAAGAGGGGGGCGGGCTTACAAGCGAGCGCCAGAGGCGCTAACTTGTAGGGACCCGGAGATACATGTATGTATTTGTAAATTATTATTTTATGTATTTTTAGCTTGAAATTGAAGGGGGGGGGGGGAAGGGGGGACTCTTAAGCCCTCCCAGCCTCCCTGCTCAACTGTCCCTGGTCTTCCAGGTAAGAAATTGAAACAAAAGATCTTTCAGCATGTATACAGTATATGGTGCCGAGCTGCAGAACACAAAGAAACATTCATGCTGCTGTACTACATGAAAATATATACATGTAAATATTATAAGAAATCCAATTTGCAAAACCACTTCAAGAATGAAACTACAGAAGGTTAATTTTTAATGGTACAAAGAGAGCAGGGTTTCCAGCTAAAATGCTTTTGTGCTTGATACTCGAAACATACCATATACACAATAAATATAATACATGTATGATTTACATGTACGCACCTCTAGCAATGCTGTTGAAGAGTTTAATGATCAGTTTGGCCATGTAGTAGCCAGGAGCTGCCTGAAAACAAACACAAATTTTCAGTTTTATTTTAAAAAAAAAATTCATTCTGAAAGTACCAGTTCTGTAGTAAAATTAACACATGTAATCAATTGATTCTTTTACTATCAGAATCAGCTCTTGAAACTGTGAATATAATATGCGGGCGAGCAAGTGACAAAAGTCATATTTCAAAGACTAGTTGTAACCATGGTTCACACAGTCACTCACTCACTCATCCCCATAGCACTGGGTGGCACACAGGGCGGCTGGCACAAAGAGTGGTTTCACAACAAAAAAAGGATTGACTTAAGGAATGATGCATCTCCTGTTGACTGTCTGAGTGTATGATGTTACAAGGAGTAACCAACAACAGATCATACAGCAGAGTTCTTCGAGGTTGTCATGTGCAACTGTCATGTAACAGAGCAACAAGTCTCTCTCACTATGACATGTTTTGAGAAGCACACTCAATCAAAGAAGATAACTTTAGCAAACATTGTGGCCAGTACCTTTCCTCCAATCATGACAGTGCGGGGCACAAAGTCCATGTTCGGATTTGCTTTAAGTCCTGTGGATCAGACATGTATAGTTTTATTTTAACTTTCAATTATGGTTTTTTTTACTTCATACCTTAGAATCGTGGAATAAAGGTAACTATTAATATTAATAATTGTTAGATAAAATTATTATAAATTATGCTTACGGTTGTACAACACAATAACATGGAGGCAGTTCATCAGCTGTCTCTTGTACTCATGGATTCTCTTCACTTGGACATCAAATATAGAGTTCACATTGACATCAATGTCATACTCTTTCTTGATGTAATCTGCAAGTCTAATCTTGTTTTCCTGGATACAATGAAAAATAATGGCCTTTAGTTCTCAGACTGAGTCCACCTTCTCAGTAGTATAAAAAGGACAAAAGGATATGTCATTTAACTTTTAAATAGTCATGTCAGTATTAATTTATTATTACCTGTTTGCTTCTCATGAAAGCATGTTTAAAGTTCCTGTCATTGACATATTTTTCAAGCTTTCTCAACTGTGACAAGTCTGCTATCCATCCCTCACCAATTTTCTACAAAAAGAAATAAAATGTGTCAGGTATCATTTGATAAGTCTCAAGTCCAGGGAATTGACCTTTTTCGACTGGGCAGTTTGTTACCCTATTTCAGACCATGTGATGATACTCTTGAGAATTCTTGCTTTCAAATTTTCAAATAGTTGCGTGTATATGAATAAATAATTTTTAAATGTAGATGGATAAAAGAACAATTCTCTAGAGAATATCACATGGTCTGTAATGGGACAACAAACCACCCAAGTGAAAAAGGTCTATTCACCGTTGTAAAGGTCCATTCCAGTAACAAGTCATACATGTATACCCTGCAAGACAGAGATTTCCCTCTCTTTCTGCACTATGAGAAACAAGAGGGAAGGGAATCTAAGTCTGTTGGGAATCTCTGTCTTGTTGTTGTTGTTGTTGTTGTTGTTGTCATCATCTCACAGGGCACATGTACACCTGTATGTATCAAAGAACATTTGATAACTATTTTGCTTCTTTAACAAAGTGTTCACATATTTTTACCTCACAAATAAGGTCTGATAGCCCAGGGTTGCAGAGAAGAAGCCAGCGTCGTGGTGTCACACCATTAGTCTTGTTCTGAAACTTCTCAGGAAACATTTCATAGAAGTCTTTAAATCTGACAAGAAACAAAAACATTTCGTGTTAGGCCTTTTCTGCGTTCAATGAAATAGTATTACATGCAGTTGCATATGTATGTACCACAAGGATGGGTGTCCAGGCATCCTGTGGATGGCCACTTTCAATCTATAGAAAGTTATTTTATTTTTCATATGCTGCCTCATAAATTGCTCATTTGAGCAGGCCCTATGGCATATTTTGGACAGCCAGTTTTCAAATTCTGGGTGAAAGCCTGACAAGGACCCTCACCATTTCACTGGATTGATTTACTTCCAGTGGCTAAAATGACAACCTATTCCTTGACACCTACATCTTTGAGAACAGATTTCGAACTAATGTTCATTGAAATCCTGTTCAAAAAATTACAATGCAGTTCCCAGTCTTCCTGGTAGACCATTTTCTGAAGAACACAAGCAAACACATGTACAGTACACATACTGGCAGTTTTATACTCCATAAACAAAACATTGAGAGTCCTAAGTTTATTACATTTTGTTTTTAGTTTTACGCAAATAAACACCAAGAGATCATACTCACACTGTTGTTTTGAGAAGTTCAGAGTGTAGAGCAGCCACTCCGTTGATTGCATGAGAACCAACAATGCACAAATGTGACATGTTGATGCGCTTCTCAGGTCCTTCTTCCACTAAAGACATCCGCTGCATTCTGCCTACGTCTCCTGGCCACTTTTCTGTTACTTTCTGAAAGGATAACATTTTAATTACCAATTTCATTCTAATTACATTGTTGGATGGTATTGTAAAGTCAGGATTCAAAACCGCATGTACTGTAGACTTTGTTAAAAGAGTGCATGTACCAGATTCTCCAGACAATACATGTATAACTTCAAGCCTGCAAAGAGCCCACATGTGTTTACCTTTAGAAACAAAGCATTGATTTCATAGATGATCTGAAGGTGTCGTGGCAAAATGTACTCCAACATGTGTACAGGCCATCTCTCCAATGCTTCAGGAAGGACTGTGTGATTAGTGTAGCTGAACGTTCTGATGCAGATGTCCCATGCCTACAAATTGACAACACAAGAGGTCATGTGGGCATGTAAGCGTCAGTACTGGAGTACAACATTAATCAGGTTTATTAGTTTCTAATCCACTATTCCATTCTTAATACAGCCAGTTAGAACTGACAAGGCAAGCAATCTGTAGCTGTTGTATCATATGCACCACAAGCTATAGATACATGTAAATTTCTGCAATTGAGCATGTATAAATGGCCATTACATATCTCTGTTTTTCAATGCGTGGTTCTACTAACCCTGGATACAATGCCTATCCATCACAGGATTACCCCTGCCATTAAGGTCTCTAGTACGTGAACCCTCTAACTAAATATACAGTACATGAAAGGCACTGTGGTAAATGTATCTTTCCCAAGAAAAATACATTTACCACAGTGCCACTGCTCAATCTGCCCCCATACAAGCTACAGTACATACAGTACTTGGAATAGAATTTTTCTGTCATACAGTGTGTCTGTTTATCTGTTTGTTGTTGTTTACTTGCCTTTTCCCATGTGAGTTTCTCAACATCAACAAATACCCTCATAAGCTCTGGAATAGCTAGAGACGGATGCGTGTCATTCAATTGAATGGCAACCTGACAAACAAATTAATTAATTAGTTATTGGGCTGTTAGTTCAGATAATATTACAATGTAGATATAAATAGATTGCAATTTAAACAAACTTGCCACACTTGGAAGCTTGAAAAACAGAACACTTACGTGTAGAAAACAATAATGTGTGGAAACAAAACAAGGCCATAGCAGCAATAATACATACATGTACACACAAGTCATTGAGTAACCATAAAAGGCAGCACATTATCTCAATGCTAGATTGTGTACAAGAACACTGTATATAATAAAATAGCCATCAAGTACTTACTTTGTCAGGAAAGTTCTCAAAGTTTGTCCGCACTGCTTCTTTGGAACCAAATTTGGGAGCTTTATATCTTCTAACAATGTCATGGAGAGTAGCACTGACCATGAAGTACTGCTGCTTTAGACGCAACTCTTTCCCTTCAAAAAACTGAAAACAATGTTCAACTCAATTATTGGATTCAAAGCAACTAGCAATCAAAACATTTCAAGTATTTCAATTTCTAAGCAAATTTTCAATTATAAATCTTACATTATCATTTGGATATAAAACTCTTGAAATATTCTCTGCCACATTTCTGTCCAGGACTGCCTTTATATAGTCTCCATCATTAACTGGAAATACAAAAATTAGAGAGCTTAAATAAAGCCTTAATTTACATGTATTTATTTTTTATTTCAAGAGTCTACTGCCCATGTTAGAGTTGTCACTTCTATGGAAGTCTCCATAAGAAGGCATCATACGTAGTTACAAGATGGAATTCAGAATGTAAAATGTTTGTCACTTAGGCCATGAAATTGAACTTCCAGCCCTGTACTAAGACATTTTGTCACATGACTTTGGTCGTCAAAGACCACATGACATTTAATGAGAAAGGCGCTGTTTATTATTTTGATCCTGCTTCTAAGACAAATTTATTTCAGTATGAATCCAACAGAATCAGGAGCCAATATTTCTGCTCATTTCTTAAAAGGCATTTTCAATATAAACTTACAGTATGAGAGATCAAAACCCTTTGGAGACTTTGCTGCCCACAATCTCATTGTGTTGCAGGTATTGTTTCCATAGCCTGGAATGGGCTGATCATATGGCATAGCAAAAACTGTGCTTGTATCAACCCAGCGATGGCTTTTTCCACTAACATCTGACTCCACTCTTCCATAAAACTGAACAGGAATCATGTACTCTGGTCTGGCTTTCTCCCAGGGGTTCCCAAACTTAAGCCAGTCATCGGGCAACTCAATCTAGAAGAATCATGAGTGAGTCAGACTGAATAACTAATTAACTCAGTCATGCATTCTCCATTACAACTGAACCCTGAGCATTCTGCAATAAAAATAAAATAACTTCTGACCATTATCAGTGTTTGAAAACACAGTCCTGTAACTCACAAACTTCCATTTCCTTCTAGATAGCAAAGGACACCACCATTCCCAAATTTGTTATGACTTTTAATTGACCAAATTTATCATCTTTAACTTAATTTATAATCAACAAGTAAATCTTTTACTTGCCATCAACAGAGCCCAACACATGGTTTCTTTAGAATCTAATCCTTTTGGAAAATATTTTTCTTTTGGTCATTTTGCTAGGCATAACTCGATTTGAGCCAGATATACCTCCTGACAGTTCTTCTCTCCCACTCAGTCAATAAGTATGATATTGTCTACGACTGATTCTAGAAGTTCCAAGTCAAAAGGTATAATTCCATTGAATGAACTTGAAAAACAACATCAAATTTATATACACATTACATGTAATTTCAAAAATCTGTTTACAAAGTCTATTAAAACAGCACAAATTTGAAACCTGATTTCCATGGTCATCTATTCCTTGTTTAAATATTCCATACTCGTATCTGATGCCATAACCATAGGCAGGATACCCCAAGGTAGCCAAGGAGTCCAGGAAGCATGCTGCCAATCGTCCAAGACCTCCATTTCCAAGACCAGCATCTTCCTCTATTTCCTCAAGTTCCTCCATCTCCAGACCAACCTGTTTAAAAGACAAGACAGTAATTTCGCTTAACACATACACATAACATTGTACCAATCTGGTCTGAAAGTTAGTTTCTTAAAACAGAAACCATGGTAGCACATCCTCTATCAGTGCTGGCAAAAAATTGGCTGACAATTGGCCATTTTGCTGTCAAAAGAAAATTACTGCTACACGCTACGGAGTTCACTACTAATGCTTACTTGCAACTGCAGCAAATTCATCTCTGGTCTTTACTGCCCACTACTTCTATCATCTTGGCTGCTACTACAAAACATTTTGACAGGGCTATTCCTATTCACCTACACATAAGATTACAATCAAAACTATTCTTAAGGGACTCCATAAAGGGCCAGGCACCAGGCCAACTGACTGGCTGCAAGGATGATTTTGCCCACCTGGTTTTATCATCTAGCCGAAAGTTTTTCTTATAAAAGAAGTTCAAATCCTATAGTTTTGCCCAGCTGTGAAAACCAGTTGTCCTCCTGCTGAAAATGTTAATGAAATCCTTTATTAACATGTACACTGTAGCACTTACCTGATACATGGCTTCATCACACTCTCCTTGGATCCCTAGGTTGATCATAGTGTTGGTCAGTGCGCGGCCCATGTAGTACTCCAGTGAGAGATAGTACACACGCTACCAATAAATCAATGCAAAATAATAACGCTGTAAATAATAAACTGGTCAACTACATTGTGCATGTAACTAGATTTGCAACCTATCAATCTCGACCATCTCCACAACTTTGGACCTCTTTCGACAAGGGAAGACAACTGCAGTGTAAAATTTTTAAGATAAGCAGTTACTTGCCACAAACTTGTATTTTTAAAAATTGTAATTTTACAGTATTACCATACTGCAAGAACATACATGTTGATGTAAGTGCATTGCTTGTAGTGTCAACCTATCTGTGGTTGTACGACTTGTAAACTTTAATCTCTCTCTCTCTTTTTTTTTTTCTAATTTGTTTTACTCTCATTAAGAACTTACTGGCACTAACAGTCACTTTTAATAAAAGAACCTGCTATTTAAAGACACTTTTTTGTAAGATGATAAGCTACAAAGGTTTTGTTAGTTTTACTATTGGATGTAATGATGTAACTTGACGACAGTATTGTTTCCTTGAGTTCACACTAATAATATTAATACTTTCAAAATTGATACAGACCCATGTTCAAAAGTGGTGTAGGTCAGGCACACCCATGTATGCAAGGGGCTTCTGCTGAGGTCATCCTCAACTGCTAATGCCACATCAATTGTCAACTCTCTTTTTTGGATCAGGATGAGTGATCTAAGATCCCTTGGATCATGGTGCAACAAAGGAGCTGATGAATCTGTGACCAGAGTGGATTCATCGGTTCCTTTGATGTACTGTACCATGATCCGAGTGATCTTGGATCACTGATCCTGATCCAGATCACCCCAAAGGAATGCATCATCCTTAGATTCTTGCAGGTAATATGTTTTAATTTAATACCATTAACAAAATTGATTTGGAGATTAATCATCAATAATTATGATATCCATATATTATTTATTTCTGTCTCAAAATCTGTTGTCGTGGTCTTTTTCTTTTTTGTAACACAAATACAACTATCAAACAACCATGTTGCTTTTTCAATAAGCTTGCCATATGGTTCTTTTGCCACAGTAAAAAAGTCTGTCTTCCTGTATTGTTCGTTTCAATATCTCATAGGCCACAAATCAATTAACAAACCACAACAAAAGAAATACAAAAATAAAAAGTTGAAATTCATTCCCTTGTCACAAAACAGACATTAAGATGACTGCCAGATGTGGTGGAATGTCACCTTGTTTGTTTGACTATTGACAATCCTAGATCCTAATCAAACTTTTTCAACCTGTTTTTTGCCCATTTCAACATCGGTTGTTTGTGCATTGAAAATTAAATGGTCAATTTCATTACAGTATTCCTTAACCCATTAATAAATATTTCATTTTAGCCAATAATAACCAAAAAATAAAACTCCGATTTCAGATATTAGCCATCTTTTACCGATGTTGACTTTTGTAGGTGGAAGAACTCGACTGCAGACAAAATAGCTGCCAACGTTAAACATTATTTATGCAAAATAAATTCAGGTTTTTCTTTCACGGTTGTAGATACTTAATTACCGGCAAATGCATGCAACAGTCTCACTGATTTTACATTTTTTTGAAAACCTCCAGAGCGCAAACACGATCAATATCAGCATGGACGCTGCTACAATCACTAAACTCATGCACGAGATTTTGACGACACTGTCAGCAGAAACCACAGGTGGGGTCCGTCGAAAGAGGTTATAAAAAGTCGGCTTTATTACAAACGTTTTACCGTTGAAGCGAAACTGCTCCTATTAATAAGCCGGCTCATAGTATTTTGACGAAAATAAAAGGACAACGGGGGTGGCATATGATTGAAATCTGAACTCACGCAATTTAAAACTTTTGTTTACCAGTGCTAGCTTAGTTTTAATTTTCCCTTTACGTAACCAAAGCCTGATTTCAAGCGTGATCGTCATATGAATCATCACCGAAACATCAAAATACCTTAGGGTCCTTCTCATAATAGGCTTGCTGGGATCGAATCCACTTTCCTACCAAATGATCTTTCACTGTGTGAGCCAGAGAATAGTAGTAATCTCGTTTCGTCGCGACATTGCGGTCTTTTACGAGGGAGTAGTGCAAATGGCGGTTGAAAGCTTCCTTCAGACTGTTCACGTCCTCAACAATTGGCAGCCGTCGAAGAGAGATCTGCCTCTTTCTTTCTGCATCCGTCAACGGTTTCTCGCCCATAGTGCTGCGAACACTGAGCAAAAGAACCGACAAACACACTAAATTACGCCTTCCTTCGACCTTCTGGAATCGGCGCTCTCTGCTCTGCAAACAGTGAGAATGCCAACTTGGCTCCAGTCTCCAACGGAAAGTTTCCCAGATGTTTACGTCACATTCCACGTCGATCTTCTCAACTCATTCCCAGGCTCTCTCTCCTTTGCTTGGGTTGAGGTCTTCTTTATTTCCTATTTCTTTCTTTTCCCATTTCCTGTCATTTGCGACAGAAGTTTCTTTTCGAAGGAACGACAACCTTAAGTCATAGAGTTAATAGTCTGCGAAATTACATTTCTCGACCAGATGCATGTTTATTGGTTTTAATTTAATTTTCAGCTTCCTCTCAGGTACAGCAGATATACCAAGGCTTTAAAATAATTGAGAGTAATTGCCACTTAAAATCAAAGAAATCGTGGCCAGGGTCGAAAAATCGATTTTGCTCACACTTTACCAGTTTGAAGGCCTAGGTAAGTAGCTGAAGGAAATCAAGTTAGTTTTTTGAAATATCCAATAAAACGGCAGAAATTCATGAAAAACGGTCATCGTACCGAAAGTTCAGATTTCACTTCGCGATAATCCGAAATTTTATCTTCTTGTTACACATATGTTTGCATCGCTGTGAAACGTTCTCAACTTTAAATGTATACAATGATTCTTCCTTAATAAAGATATAGTGATTACTTTTATTCCTTGTGTTTTCTGAGCGAACTGAGCCCCGACATACTTAGACATACTTTTCTAATTAAAACAAAACTCAAAATTTATGCAAATTCAGTAAGGAAAAACGCTGACCAGTAGTGCTTCAAATCATCTGATATTGTAGCAAACTACAGTTCAGTCAATGAACTTTAGGTTTACAGTTTCATCATTAGTTTCATGCATCATTTTGTTAACCGCACACAGCTAGGCTACTCACTATCTACTAAACTTGCAATTAGATTATGAGCTCGAGGTTTCAAACGCGTGATAGTTGACGAGGGCGCAGCCCGAGGTCAACTATCTCGCATAGAAATCGAGAGCGAATAATCTCTTTTTTTTTTTTTTTTTAGTATAGATCTACCGAGTCGTTCAAAAACGTTATCTAAATCCTCTTTACAGACACTTCGAAAACGCCAAGAAGCGGCCGTATTTTGTTAGCAAGGGTCAACAAAGGTACACTGCTACGTTGCTCACTATCTATAAATCTACTAGCGTTCTATTACGAATGCTGTTCTCTGATTGGTTATGCTACTCACTATCTATTCTGTGATAGATAGTGAGAAGCGTAGCACTGTGCCCTTGTTAACAAAATGACGGCCGCTTCTTGGCGTTTTCGAGGTGAGTAACGTAACCAATCAGAGAACGAGTTTCGTGATAGAACACAAGTAGTTTGAAACTAATTAACAACAGGGCTACGGGGCAATAGCCCATGAGGCGATGAGGCGAAGCCGAACAGTGGGCTATTGTCTACCCGTGGCCCTTGAAGGCGAAGGGTCTAATAGACCAATTTCGATATATTAAAATTCAGCCCAAAACAATAGACCCCAGTACGAGGCTCTGGGGAATAACTACAGAGTTTGTGGGGTTAATTCCCCAGGGCCTCGTGCTGAGGTCTATTGTTTTAGGCTGAATTTTAATATATGGAAATTGGTCTATTGTTTTATAGTATCACCTAACTAGTCGGACAGAAAAGGCAGTAATTAAGTTAGCAAATGCAAGTTGAAGAAATATTTATTTGGGAATAAAACGAAAGAAAGCGTCACGCTCGATTGCGCCAATTTCGCTACTCGAGGACTAATACTAACAGTCCTCCAGTAGCGTAGCCAATTAAAATGCAGGATTTGCATTAGTCCACTAGTTGGGTGATACTAATTTCTGATATATCTCAAACTTTAAAAGAATTTAACTTTAAAAAACTTTATTTAACTTTAAAAGAATTATCGACTTTAATTATTAACTTTAACTTTAAAGAATTAAACGAAACTCTTCAAAGAACTTTGAGATTTTTTTCTTCCAATTGTATCGAAGTTAGGAAAACCGTGTTAAGACTTTGCACCAAAACAGCCATATGTACTTTGATTTCACACCTCCAAAAGGCCTCAAAATCACTCCGAACAATGAAAAAACAAAATAGAGAGAGGAGAGCAAGAAAAGGAAGATAGGAGAGTGGAGGGAAAAAAATTGACATTCCTTTTAGTTTTTAAATCGTTTACTTTGGAGATTGTAACTGGCTAGGAAAAAAACGCATGATTTCTTTAACACTGTTTTCATTAATCCTGACATATATAAATTTTTTAGTTTTATTTATTTTACCAGTTCTTTTTTTGTCCTTGTCGATTCTTGTATACTCTTCTAATATAATTAATCTATAACTACTTTTACATTGTGGCTGAAAAGCCACCATGGGGGAGCTTCAATATGTATCTATGAGCTTCAATATGTATCTATGTAGACTTGCTTCATAATATGGTAATTTTTTTTTGTCACCGAATTCTGGAAAATGACGCTACTTCAAATAGACGGGAAAAAGTTTCTTTGTTTTCAATTAATCATCTGAATTAATTGCATGTTCTTAGGGCATATTATCGCCATGCAGTTATCGACCATTGCGGCCATTTTTTGGGGAAAGAAACAACGAAGTTGCCAAATATCACTATATAGCAAAGATATCAGTGACGTCACCTATTGTTATTTAAAATATGCCAACCAAAGAACTACTAGGTGATGAAACAAAGAGTTTTTTTGTTTACCGTTTTTAACATTTAAATAACAAAGACAATGTTTGTACACAAATATTTTCGCTATAGTAAAAATAACGACTAGGAAATGAATTACCGTCACTCCGTGTAAGCGCACCTGAAGTAAGACTTACTGCTATGCAAATAAGTAGAATTTAAGCACGCACCTTCGCGGGAAAGTGGCTCATTTGCATTGATTAAAATTCAAAATTGATAACATTATTTTATTCTACCATGCGCTCATCAACACACTTAAGTTTTCAAATTTAATTTCATAACGGACTCGAACGGCTCAAAAATGAACAAATGAGCAACTTTTGAACAAAGTTTGGACAACTTCGCGTCATGCTAAGTTTACTGTTAACCGCCACGATGAGGTTTTAAAGAACGAAGGAGTATGCTCCATAGAGACTGTTACCACAAGATTCACTTGGACACTGAGCAAGATCCTTCGCTTCTCCGAACGAGTTCGACATGGGAGTTGATCGAACTTGGATTGATAATCATGGCAACGTTTATTCAAACAGCGCGATCTCAAAGTTATTAATTACACGCTGGATCTGCCATTCTCAGAATTTCCAGGATTTCATAATTGTACTTTACCAGTCTTCGCCATCAGCCGGCAAACTGTGATGAAATGATACATTTTCCTTCGCCGATTTTACTTTCTTCACAAAACCTCTGGACCCAGTTATCAACCTGCCGAGCGATAGACTCGAGAGACCTAGAAGAAAAACAATCGGAGGAAACTGCTAAAAAGAGGTAACAGGAACTTTTCATTCTATTTTATAATTACAATGTCCTTATTTTTCTTTTCACATTTTTACGAAATATGTTGTACTTTTACGGTCGCAAAAGTGCTCCGCAAATGACACAGCCATACTGGAACGTTCCCCTGTAATAATTTTTTTGATCATTTCCTGAAACTATCCTGAACAACTACCACTATGACAAAACATAAAATAAATAATTTACTCTGATCTCGATTTCTAATGCATACAATCACTCGATGCCAGACAGCGAGTTTTGCGCTCTTTAATTCTTTTTTCTAACGAGACGAATGTTTTATCAGTAAACTAATCATTCCCAAAAGCTACCAAACGACATCCAAACATTTCCGTACGTTTTCATTAACAACTTTGATTGCTAACGGTTAACATGTACATTATTTTCTTTTTATCAGGAAAGCTACGCCCTGGTTACAGTTTGGCACAACATATTATACCGTAGGAGTGGAAATAGGACAGCCAGCCAACAGACTGGTTAAAAAAAAAGATAAAACTAACGAAGCTCAGTAGTCTTGACCGACATACAAACATCGATATTCCTGGAGAAATCATTGGAAAGAATTAATTTACGGATCATTGAGGTTCCACAAAGCCATCAGCAACTAGAGAAGGGGATCATTTTTTTTTTTAAACCGTGACCGTGAACTTGGATCAGTTCACAGCATCTGTTCAGGTAAAAATTAGTGACTTTCTCCTTAGTTACGACGGGACTATCAACGAATTGTCATGCATTTCACTAAAATTATTAGATCGAACAAAACCCAACTAAAGGTATGATGTTACTCCATAGAAAAAGCATTTGATTTTACAATATTATGTTATCCAGTAACTAAGACGACGTCTTTCCACATCAAATAAAGGGTCTAGGATTATAACTTAACTTCAAATAAGAAACAAACGATCAAAAAAAAAAAAAACACAGCCAAAAAAAACAAAACAAGCAAACAAACAAACAAACAAACAAACAAAAAAAAAAAATCAACTATTTCATTTTAAAACTTAACCATTTGTTAAAGTTAACAAATAAAAACAAAACAAAAATTTTTTATTATAAATACTTGACCTATGTAAAACAAAACATTCAAATATTAAAATTAGAATTGCTGTAAACGGGATTCAAATCCATTCAAAGAGGCAATTCCCAGCTGGGTCAGTGGAGAGTTTCACCTACACCACTTACCATGTACAGGATTCAAAACTATTCGAAAATGCATTCGATAGCTAAAGGAAGAGTTTCACACGCTCCACTTAATATGAACGGGATTCAAACTCATTCGAAAATGTATTTGCCACCTGAATGGAGAGTTTAACACCCTCCACCTAAATTGAACGGGATTCAAACCCATTCCAAGATGAAATTTAAAGCTGGGTTAGTGGGGAGTTTTCTTCCCGCCACTAAAACGGAATTAAAAAATGCATTCGCCAGCTACATGGAGAGTTTCGTACGCTCCACTTAACATGAACGGGATTCAAACCCATTCAAAAATGTAATTTTCAGCTGGCTCAGTAAGAGTTTCACACGCTTTACTTAACATCAACGCGATTCAAACCCATTCGAAAAAGCATTCGCCAGCTGAATGGAGAGTTTCGCACGCTCCACTTAACATGAACGGGATTCAAACCCATTCGAAGATGCATTCCCCAGCTGGGTGGAGAGTTTCGCACGCTTCACTTAGTGCTTGTTTACTTTGACGTCCTGAGGTAAGGTTGGTCGATGAACTCGGTGCTTCCGTACCATTTGTTGGAAACCACGCCACGCAGGTAGCACGAGTACCATGCGTCCATCCTTTGGAAACATGAGTCCAGAGGGTCGAAATAATGTGGTTCATGAATTCTGACTGGGTCAGTACTCATCGCAGATGATTCGTACTCAGCTGAACCAGAGGATTGTGGCTGTTTTCAAGCAGGGGTTGCATATTGTCGCGCTCTTTCGCGCGTGAGCGAAAACACGTTGTATCTTTAAAATTAAATAACTTATAGCACTTAACATTAGACCGCGAAAGAAATCTACGTTTAATATCAGTCATGGAGAAAGGATAGGATATAGGTGGTAAAGATAGCGACATCAATAGTGTTTAGCCATGAAAGGATTTAATTAAAAATTTGTTGTAAGGGAAGGAGGGAGAGAGAGAAAGAGAGTATTACCTAAGAGCCTAGAGATAAAATACCTCTGCTTAAAAAGACGGGGACATGAATGGTTTACAGTTAGACTGAATTTAGTTGAGTGTTACGACACGTCTTCTATTAGCTTTAGGACTCCTTATCCTTTTCGCGGAAATAATAAAAATAAAGCAATAGATAGCATTTTTCACTGACAGTTTGATATCTTTTTTCGAGAGACGCCTAGGAAAGTGTTTCCCAAGTTGATGAAAAATCAGCACTGGATACTACATGAAAGGTGACAACGAGAGGAGTCTGAGGGTAAGTTGAAAACTTTCACGAAGGTGAGAATATAATCGGTCATCAAATTGTAGAAACATATACATATTCAAAAATGCGCATCCGCCAGTTCTGAGAAGAGTTTCACACGCTTCACTTAACATGAACGGGATTCAAACCCATTCAAAGATGTACTTTTCAGATGGGTCAGTGGAGAGTTTCACACGCTCTACTTAATATGAGCGGGATTCAAACCCATTCGAAAAAGCATTCGGCAGCTGAATGGAGAGTTTCGCACGCTCCACTTAAAATTAACGGGATTCAAACCCATTCGAGGATGCAATTTTCAGCTGGGTCAGTGGAGAGTTTTATTCGCTCTACTGGACATGAGCGGGATTCAAACCCCTTCGACAATGCATTTGCCAGCTAATTAAAGAGTTTCACATCCTCCACTTAACATTTAGGGGATTCAAACCCATTCAAAGATGGAACACTTTTACGCTGGGTCAGTGGAGAGTTTCACACGCTCCACTAAACATGAAGGGGATTCAAACCCATTCGAAAATGTATTTGGCAGCTGAATGGAGAGTTTGGTGCACTCCACTTAACATGAACGGGATTCAAACCCATTCGAAGACGTAATTTTCAGCTGCGTCAGTGGGGAGTTGCATTCGCTCCAAGATTGATGAAGGATCAGGACTGGATACTACATGGAAGGATGCTGAGGGTGAGTTGAAAACTTTCAGGAGGGTGAGAATATAATCAGTTATCAAATTGTAGAATCATATATATATTCAAAAATGCGCATCCGCCAGCTCTGACAAGAGTTTCACACGCTCCACTTAAATTGAACGGGATTTAAACCCATTCGAAAATGTAATTTTCAGCTGGGTCAGGGGAGAGTTTCACACGCTCTACTTAACATGAACGGGATTCAAACCCATTCGAAAAAGCATTCGCCAGCTGAATGGAGAGTTTCGCACGCTCCACTTAACATGAACGGGATTCAAACCCATTCGAAGATGCATTCCCCAGCTGGGTGGAGAGTTTCGCACGCTTCACTTAGTGCTTGTTTACTTTGACGTCCTGAGGTAAGGTTGGTCGATGAACTCGGTGCTTCCGTACCATTTGTTGGAAACCACGCCACGCAGGTAGCACGAGTACCATGCGTCCATCCTTTGGAAACATGAGTCCAGAGGGTCGCAATAATGTGGTTCATGAATTCTGACTGGGTCAGTACTCATCGCAGATGATTCGTACTCAGCTGAACCAGAGGATTGTGGCTGTTTTCAAGCAGGGGTTGCATARTGTCGCGCTCTTTCGCGCGTGAGCGAAAACACGTTGTATCTTTAAAATTAAATAACTTATAGCACTTAACATTAGACCGCGAAAGAAATCTACGTTTAATATCAGTCATGGAGAAAGGATAGGATATAGGTGGTAAAGATAGCGACATCAATAGTGTTTAGCCATGAAAGGATTTAATTAAAAATTTGTTGTAAGGGAAGGAGGGATAGAGAGAGAGTATTACCTAAGAGTCAAGAGATAAAGTAACTCTGGTTAAGAAGACGGGGATATCAATTGTTTAAAGTTAGACTGAATTCAGTTCAGCGTTACGACACGTCTTCTATTATCTTTGGGACTCCTTATCCTTTTCGCGGAAATAATAAAAATACAGCAATAATTAGCTTTCTTCACTTATAGTTTGATATCTTATTTCGAGAGACGCGAAGGAAAGTGTCTCTCAGGTTGATGAAGAATCAGGACTGGATACTACATGAAAGGTGACAAGGAGAGGATGCTCAGGGTGGGTTGAAAACCTTCACTAAGGTTATAATCGGTTGTCGAATTGTAGAAGCCTATATACAGCTGTAACTCATCTGGTAGGAGATAAATCTGACATAGATGCTAAAGATGCCAAGAGAATAATAATGAAAAAAAAAAAAATAAAATGGCAGATCATACAATCCCGTACGCCCCTACAAAGTTTGGCCAAGGAAGGGAGTTAGGGCGGGGGACATGGGAATTTTAAAGAGACACTTCACATTACGTTACATTAGCCAAGATTTTAAACCGCTGGTCACGTTTACAAGCTTTTTAAAGACGGCGGGAATGGCGGGAATGAAGAACACCTTGAAATTGTTCGTTTATCGTTAATTTTCTCGGTCGACGAGCTCGTTTAGTGTATTGCTGACAAGAGTATTATTTTTTATCAACAGGATAATCGGTCGTTTTTCAGTCCCAAAGGAAAAACTTTAAAACCAGGGGCCTCAAAGGTTGAGGATAAGCGCGGGAAAGACTCAAGTGCGAAGTCTGCATCGAGGGCCGTGCGAAAAGCAAGGTAAGAATTGTTTTTTTTTCCCGTCCGTGGAGACGGTTGAATGGATTCTAACTATGAATAAGTTCAGTTAATTAATAAGTTGGGGATTCAAAGAGTGTAATTACGTCTTGATAAGTAGAGTAGGTATCATTTTCTTCTAGCTTGGAAATTTTCGTGTCTGTCCTGTTTTATGAGCTTACCTGCATTCCACTTCCACCCACCCGCTATTGCGAGGTCACCCGTGGATCCGTTAAAAAGGAAAGTTTTGCATACAGGCAGATGCCCAGTTAAAAGAATTTGGGAGGGAAGAAAGAAAACAAACAAACAAACAAACAAACAAACAAGAACAACAAAACAACGCACAACAACTTCCCCTTAACAATTATAGAGTCCTTACTTCTCTCCTTACTTCCAAGACTTTCACACCCAGCTTCTCTGCTCTGCTTTTTTGCACTCAAAGTAAACTGAGCAACATTAACCTGTAGACACTACATAGCTGCACATAATTGCATTGTATGTGTTGATATTTTGTTTGGAGCTAGAATTGCTTCCACGGTACAATCAGCCTCTATACTTGACAATAACTTGACAAAAGACAAACAGCAAGCACTGAAACGACTGAAAAACGACAACAACATTGTCATACTACCAGCCGACAAAGGACGTGTCACTGTTGTTATGGACAAGACTGACTACT